TCCGCTCTGGAAGTCGTATCATTATTCTGACTCGGCCCTGTTTAGGGACTTCGCCTTCTTCAAGTGCTACACCTCGGCGCGATCCAGCCTACGTGGTTGATCCGCCCTGGAAGTCGTATCATTATTCTGACTCGGCCCTGTTTAGGGACTTCGCCTTCGTCAAGTGCTACACTTCGACACGAGCCCGTCTCCGCGATTGATACGCCCTGAAAGTCGTATAATTATTCTGACTCGGCCCTGTTTAGGGACTTCGCCTTCTTCAAGTGCTACACCTCGGCGCGATCTAGCCCACGTGGTTGATCCGCCCTGGAAGTCGTATCATTATGCTGACTCGGCCCTGTTTAGGGACTTCGCCTTCTTCAAGTGCTACACCTCGGCGCGATCCAGCCTATGTGGTTCATCCGCCCTGGAAGTCGTATCATTATTCTGACTCGGCCCTGTTTAGGGAGTTCGCCTTCGTCAAGTGCTACACTTCGACACGAGCCCGTCTCCGCGATTGATACGCCCTGAAAGTCGTATCATTATTCTGACTCGGCCCTGTTTAGGGACTTCGCCTTCTTCAAGTGCTACACCTCGGCGCGATCCAGCCTACGTGGTTGATCCGCCCTGGAAGTCGTATCATTATTCTGACTCGGCCCTGTTTAGGGACTTCGCCTTCTTCAAGTGCTACACCTCGGCGCGATCCGGCCTACGTTGTTCATCCGCCCTGGAAGTCGTATCATTATTGTGACTCGGCCCTGTTTAGGGACTTCGCCTTCGTCAAGTGCTACACTTCGGCACGAGCCCCTCTCCGCGATTGATACGCCCTGAAAGTCGTATCATTATTCTGACTCGGCCCTGTTTAGGGACTTCGCCTTCTTCAAGTGCTACACCTCGGCGCGATCCGGCCTACGTGGTTCATCCGCCCTGGAAGTCGTATCATTATTCTCACTCGGCCCTGTTTAGGGACTTCGCTTTCTTCAAGTGCTACACCTCGGCGCGATCCGGCCTACGTGGTTCATCCGCCCTGCAAGTCGTATCATTATTCTGACTCGGCCCTGTTTAGGGACTTCGCCTTCTTCAAGTGCTACACCTCGGCGCGATCCGGCCTACGTGGTTCATCCGCCCTGGAAGTCGTATCATTATTCTGACTCGGCCCTGTTTAGGGACTTCGCCTTGGTCAAGTGCTACACTTCGGCACGAGCCCGTCTCCGCGATTGATACGCCCTGAAAGTCGTATCATTATTCTGACTCGGCCCTGTTTAGGGACTTCGCCTTCTTCAAGTGCTACACCTCGGCGCGATCCAGCCTACGTGGTTGATCCGCCCTGGAAGTCGTATCATTATTCTGACTCGGCCCAGTTTAGGGACTTCGCCTTCTTCAAGTGCTACACCTCGGCGCGATCCGGCCTACGTGGTTCATCCGCCCTGGAAGTCGTATCATTATTCTGACTCGGCCCTGTTTAGGGACTTCGCCTTCTTCAAGTGCTACACCTCGGCGCGATCCGGCCTACGTGATTGATCCGCCCTGGAAGTCGTATCATTATTCTGACTCGGCCCTGTTTAGGGACTTCGCCTTCTTCAAGTGCTACACTTCGGCGCGATCCCGCCTACATGGTTGATCCGCCCTGGAAGACGTATCACTACTCTGACTCGGCCCTGTTTAGGAACTTTGTCAAGTGCTACACCTCGGCGCGATAGTCGTATCACGACACCGACTTGACCCTTTTTTTAGGGATTCGCCCTAACCGATCCGACGAATCTTCGTTCGTCACCAATCAACCAACTGCTGTCCCCGACAATTTTCCCATCCGGCTGCCGACCAGCTACCGCCGCCGATCTACTCTACACTCGTTTCGCCGATACAACCGAATCAACTTCCCCTGAAGGGAACCAGTCATACCGGACCCGACACCGATACAAACATATTTCTCCAGAGTATACTCTTGTACTTTTTGGATAAATAAAATCGACGTTTATTGTTTCAAAAACCTCTGCCTTTGTTCCCTCATTGTCTGTTCACACCTTTCTTCCAAAAAGCTTGTGGGGGCGACATCCTTATCGGCCCTGCAACAAGTATAATACAGTCTTAACAATACCACCTGACCGCTACAAATTAATACAGAATTTTAAAATATTTAAAAGACTGTAAATTGTTCTAATTAAAATTAAAAACGGAAAACAATTCTTGTAAAAATTCATTATTTACGATTTTTTTCCATAAATTCCCCATGCTAACACGTTGACACCGGTGAAATAATATAACCAAATTCGATCGTTCTAAAAAGGATTAAAAAAAAATTTACACGAAAAAACTTTGATTTTCCCCCTTAATAATAAGTAATAACATAAAGATTTTGACGATTAATCTTTGACAAATCTTTGGAGGTACTTATTAATGGCACTGAATGGGCAGAGTTTGTGAAGAAATAAAGAAAATACAAATTAAGTAGCAATAACAATAACAATAACGTTATATTCCTAGTATTATTATTGTTGTTGTTGCTGTTTTTGCTGTTTTTATTACAAAATTTAATTAATACATTGTGCTAAATTAAAAAAAGAATTCAATAGTAATAATTCATAATAGTTTATGAGTGATCTTTGCTTGAAAGGTTTGTTGTCATGTTGAAATTAAATCGTGTGCATGTTGACAGAATCGCAGCCTCTGTTTTCAGAGGTTCGTGAATAGAGACATTGTGTGTGTGAGTATTGAGGGTGTGTACTGTAGTGTAGCAAATGAATACGGAAAAACTTGGTAATCACAACGATCATTGTCACTACTGACAAGCTTAGATGAAAATAATTTATTTAAAGTTTCGGACTGTATCGAGATCGAATCTCATAATGGTTCTCACTGTTTTTTTTTTTGTTTTCTAATTGGAGGGAAATCTTTCCGTTTATTTTTTATTAGTGAACTTACTGTTTCAATTATTTGTTTAAAAAAAATTAAATTTTGTCATTTGGCAGACGAAACGGGAATTTAAAAATTTGTTATAAGGGACGTTAACGAACTAACGTTCTTAAATCGGCTTTACGTTGTTTTTTGATACGAAAAACTTTCATTATCAGAATTAGATTTTTTGTTTTAAAATCTGCACTAATTTTGCTAATAAATTATAATATAGTGTTTTAATAATTTAAATAAAAGATGATTTTTATCTGATTTTCTAAAAAAATCTCATTTCTTACAAAAATTTGAAAACCCTGAGTATTTCAATTCAATTGTAAATATTTAAAAATCCAGCAAGAATTAAATACATTTAGACTGAAAATAATACGCAGATATTGTCTATCATATTCTTTTGGTAATCGAATTGCTAATCCTATGAAAATCTCATTGTTAGTTATAAAGAAGATAAAACAATATAGTAAAATTCGGACGACTTTATGTTTATTTCTGTTGACTACCTATATCTTGACTTCAAAAGTAAATAAATTTGCCGCCACCATCATATATACTATCATATGGGATTTGACTATGTGAAGGCTTTTATTATGGGAGTAAAAATTTTGTTGTTTCTGTCAGGATATGTAAGGTATTTATGAGAAAGTGATTTGTTTGAGTACTCGCCAACTCTCTTCTCCACAATGAAACACATACATACATACATACACGCACACATACACACGCACACACACACACACACACACACACACACACACATATATATATATATATATATATATATATATATATATATATTGGAGTGACTATGCGCAGATAAAAAGGATTTAGTCATTTCCCGATGTATTAGTGTGAAATTAATATAAACGACTTAAGCTGGAATTTGAACTCAGTTCACCGTTTCCGTTTTCCATGCAGCTACAAAACAATTGATTTCTTAGCAGATGTTCATAGAAATACTTAGTTTTTCGTCTGTAAATCATTTGTTACCGGACACAGGAGACAAAGATTCTCTGAATGTTTATTTGTAAAATTGGTGATAAAAACCTATGCAATTTTAAATTCTCAACACAATCGCAGTTCTTTTTTAATCATTTCACCCAAGCAAGGCGATAAAAGCCACTGAGATGCAAAGTGTTACTGAGAGTGAAAGAAACAGAGAGGGCAATAAAAGAACAGGGTTGAAGGATGACGACTGTCATTACATTTAAATTTTTGAAGATCCTAGTTGACAGGAAAGTAGGAAACCGGAAGACAGTTCCACAAGGGAGAAAAATATTAACATAGAATTTACGGTTACAACTAGCAATTTCAACAGTGAATTTTTTCTGTCAACTAGGATCTTCAAAAATTTAAATGCAGTGACAGTCGTCATCCTTCAACCCTGTTCTTTTATTGCCCTCTCTGTTTCTTTCACTCTGAGATTTATACACAAGAAAAGGTTTTTGAGTTCATATAAAAGTAAGTTTGTATTTAATGATATTTGGATCTTAGATGATGCAAACCAATTTTATTATAGAATTCTTATGAATTACAGAATTTCAAGGCAGATGATAATCATTTGCTGAAAGATCTTAACTTGAATGATTTTATTTTAATTTTTTTATAAAAATAAGAGAATTAAAAGCAAGTTAAAACAAAAGAATTTTTATTAACATTTTTATTGTCAAAAAGTATTTCAATTTTGCAAGTGAAGACATTTCAGTCTGTGCAATAAAAAAATAAAGTATTATAACGTTTAATCTGTGAACATTAAAAGACATTACTGATCCCTTTTGATGCTTCAATATGATAAAATATGAATGAAAATCTAATTACGAATGGTTATAGGCTCACTTATGCCTTCCGAAAAAAAAAAAAAAAACAAAACAGATGATAATATCTTTATTTAATGCATGAGATTTTTCAGCCATTTTCAGAAAAAACAAATTCTGTGCCTTTCAATAATGCAGTTAATATTTTAAATTAGTTCTTTAATTCTGTTGCCATCTGGCTAAAGATGTTGAAATGGAGAGTAGTAATGTTGTACTCATGTTTGCAATAATTGGTCATGAACCTCTACTTTGGGACTCACTGAAACCAATTAGTTTCATAAATCACGGGCTTAAGGGTCTTCATTGACCATAGCCGTAATCCTCTTCTTCCAATAATCCTGGGGGGATATAATCTAAAGAAAGATATAAAATAAAACTTGTTAATATTGATGATTTTCTCATTGTCAAATATAATCAATGTTAATTAATCAAGTGCACGACATAAACTACCAACTAAGACATAAAAATAATTGGCATGAGAAAATTATAAGATATTTTGTTGCCGAATTTGTGAACATTAATATATCAAGTAAACCTATCGATTTCTAAATCAGATTAAACTCCATAATATAAACGGTACTATAAAAAAAAATTAAGGGGAAATTTGCACATCGCCTCTGAACCAAGTGTAGTTCAGACATTTTCCGGTACTTTTCATGAGCAGTATCCTTTGTATGATTGTTATATATCTATATATTCAAAGAAACTATTTCGATAGAGACGGTGTAGAGTAGGTATCCAGGTATCTTCTTGTTTCTTTCATAATCAAATTCCCTTTTCGGTAATACATCGTAATATTCGCACTTTACAATGAGTGTAAATTCTTAAATACTTCAGAAATAATATAAATTATATTTTTATATCAAAAGAACTTTTAAACAGTTTAATCAAAAATAAAGAAAATCAGTTTATAATTAATAAGCAATTTTCCAAAAGTTATCAAGTCAATACAATATTGATTGGAAATGAACTATTTTAATTTTTATCTTTAATATTGGATAAAATGGAATATTTCCTTAAAATATTAAGTTGCAAATTTTCTGCTTTAAATAGACATACAATATTAAACGTGTAAACTTAGGATTAACACTAAATGTAAAAAAACAAAAAAAAACAAAAAGATACTTGAAATAGATTTGAATTTGAGAACGAATGGAAACTGATATGCTTTAAACTGTTAATTACCATCGCCATATTTAACCTTACTGTGTGCACGTTATTTTTTTCTGCAACTTACCATTGCATCTGTAGACAAGATCTGACCAGATGACCATTTCTTGAGAGAAACAAAACACTCCTAAACGTCCTCCCTTCAAAGTGAAGTCATAGATATTACCTGAATCCGCAATTAGTTCAGTTTCCTCAAAGAATAGAATTCTAAAATATGAAAACATTTATTTATTAGGTATTTTCCATAAATTTTATACTGGTAACTTTCAATTTGTAGCATTCAACAATACGTTATAGTTTTTTTTCGTATAACACAATACAAGCTCTCAATTTCCAATTTTCCAATTAAAAAATTGTTTAATCTATCCAAAAAAATGTACTCTATCCAGACATACATGAATCATTCAACGAAAACATTGTCTTTCAAACATGATATAGTAGCAAGTCTGCTATCTAAAAATCATCGCAGTTAAAAAAAAGTATAAAACCTTTGGACACAGGTTTTTGATCTAAGTATATCGGTGCTAATGAGAAGATAATTACACAGACAACACACTTAAAACAAGACAGTTTTTCAAGCTAATTCATCTTATTTATATATTCTAATAAGAAATTCTTAAATATGCATGCACTACATCTATTCATAACTAGCAGTAGAGCCCGGCGTTGCCCGGGGATGTAACAGTAAGAGATAGATCAAGTATCGACCATCATAAAGACTGAAAAATAAAATTGACAAAGATTATTGTTTAAGGTTGACGGACACGCATGTCTTAATTAGTTTTTTTGTTTTTTGTTTTTTGTTACGAATTGGTCAAACCCAAACTCAAACATTGTTTTCAATCGTTATGAGTCTCTACCGATTGAATAGAATTTTATTATAAGCAATTGTCTTGTAAATGGAATTTTTAAAGCATTCTGAATGTAAAAATAAAGAAAAAAGTGTGCAAGACAATAAGAAATACTACCTGCCAAAAAAAAAGTGAAGTTTTGTTGAAATCGGTTAAAAAATGTAGGAAATCCGATCCCATATATAAACGAACACACACACGCAAACAACCTGGGTTTTATAATAAGTATAACTCGAGATGAGTTGTCCCCCTTTCATTCTGGTGACCGAATCGTGTTTTATCGTGTTTTCAAATTGATTTTGTGCAAAAACAATTGTGTTTTTCCAATTTTGGGCGCTGTCAGAACCACTGCAAGGTAATTTTACGCTGTCCTGTGAAGTTTCGTTGAAATCGGTTGAAAAATGTAGGAAATCCGATCCAATATATAAACGTACAGACACACACACACACACACACACACACACACACACACAACCTGGGTTTTATAATAAGTAAGATATTAGATTTTGTTATGCAAAACAATTTTTTCGCAATAAATCAATCAATATTAATAACATTTTGCAGGATCTCGTTATATTTATATGAAAAATATATTATGGGAATTTCAACTTATAATAATTGTTTTTATTAAAAATCTTTCTAATACTTTATTCAGTGATGGGAAATTTTTTTAAGTCTGAGATTTATTCAACTTATTATTATCATCATTATTATTATTATTATTATTATTATTATTATTATTATTATATATTATTATTATTATTATTATTATTATTATTATTATATATTATTATTACTGTTAATGATATTTTTTTTAATTTTATTTATATAAAATAAAATGTCTCCGGGTGGTAAGAAAGATACAACTACACAGGAAAAGCAAGATAGTGTAAAGTTATTGAGTAACAGGAACACAACGTTGTAAATTAGGAAAATGTTTTGTATAATTTGTAGAACAATAAAAAAAAACTTGAAAAATACTGGCAAGAATAAAGACAAGAAAAACAGCTTTAAAATATTTCAAATGACACGCAGGAATCATGGAAACATTTGACCAGCAAAAAAATATTTGAATAAACCAATGTTAAGAGAAAATATGCAAAATATTAAAAAAATTGATAAAATGTAATTAAACTACCAACTTTAAATAATCATCTCAAACAAGAAACGTGTAAGTTGAGTGAAGAATGTTAATTAAACAGTATAAACGAGAAACATATAAGTTGAATGAAGTAGTACATGAAAATTAATTTCTTAACAGTAATTGTTAGTGCTGAAAATAAAACTACATTGGATGAACATGGTGGCGGTTAAATCAACCGATACAACTTACAAAGTAACACGAGTACGTGGAATAACGATTTGGGTTTGCAATATAAACAATAACATTATATATCCCTTCAGATTCGATGACAGTGTTGATATAAATACAGAGAATTATATCTGGACAAAATAAAGCTTTGAGCTCAGGAGTAGATATTCATACAAGTCTAATATCCTGCAAAAGTATTTCTCACCTTGCTACAAAAAATTTCAAAGATATATAGAATGACCCCAGTCTATCAAGATATTGATCCAATAGAAAAATTGTAATCCATCATTAAAAGAAATGTATATGAGAATGAAAAACAATATTTAAGTAAAAATCGGCGAGAAAAAAATTAAAAATTGCTTCAAGTATTGTTAAAGTCGAAAGAGTAGAAAAGTTAATAAAATCGACAGTTAAAAAAATGATGATGGTTATAACAGGTTAGTGCAAAAGTAATGTCCAATTTTTGAGAAGAAAGTTTTAAATAGTATTTATTGAAATTTGTGCTTGTTATAGTTAAGGAATGTCACAATAAGTAATTTATACCTTTCTCTTTCAGATTAATATTTTTATGATCTTTCGCATGTTTTACCCATCTAAAGATCACATTCGACATAATGTTCTGTGTGAGTTTCATAAATGTGTCAATGCAAGTGCAGCAGCAGTCTATTCAGAGCGCTTATGGAAATGATGCAGTGAATGAAAGAAATTACAGGAGGTGGTTTTTCCGTTTTCTAAGTGGGGATTTTAATTTGAAAGACGAGCAAAAAGAGGGTCGTCCAAAAAACTAACTTGATTCCAAAGAGTTGGAAGCTGTTGTCACAGACAATCCCACCATTAATTCTAGGGATCTTACAGAACAATTTAACGTAGACCATACGACCGTGTTACGCTAATTAAAAAGGATCGGAGAGGTTTCAGTGATTTGAAAATGGGTCCCACACGAACTGTCTCCAGAGAATCTGCAACAGCGTGTTACTTGTTGTGAATCAATGCTTTCACGGCACCTTTAGGAATCATTTGTAGGTAGGCTTGTTACAGGTCATCCTTTACCATAACGTTAAACGCCGCCGATCGTGGATTAGTCGAAGAGGAAGATCAGTTCAACTTCATCCAAAGAAGATCATATTGAGTGTATGGTGAGAGATTGAAGGAATTTTCCATTACGAACTTTTAAACAACAATCAAACAATTAATTACAGCTAATCTGTACTGTGATCAACTTAGTCGTTTCAAAACAGATTTGAACCAAAAGCGACATTCCTTAATGAACAGAAAGGGTGTCATCATCTATCACGATAATGCTTGTCCTCACACAGATCGGCTGACTAAAAATCTTTAGGAAGAGCTTGATTGGGAAATATTCGTTCATTCACTATATTCTCCTGACCTTGCTCCTCCTGATTATCACTTGTTTTGGGGACAAATTTAGAATCATTTGTATAGTCTTAGGTTGACATCAGAAGAAGAGGTTGAAAATGAGTTGGATTCATATTTTGCTTCAAAACCTAAGAAATTTTACAGGCGTGACATTTATAAGTTTGTTGACAGATGGAATGATATTCTAGGAAGCAAATAAGGTTATGTTAACGAATATTTTCATAATTATGGACTTTTTCATTTTTAATAAAGACCTTGAAATTGGACATTACTTTTGCACCTACCTGATCGAAAGTCAAAGAGCCCGTATCAACCTGTAGAATAAAAAAAATTATCTATTTAGGTATATTGGATACTGTGTCAATCAAATGTATGTTTTATGGCCTATATATTTGGGATTTATTTATAAATAATAATTTATGTTGCACTTAACTTACTTGTATAATAAAACATGACATCCTCAAAAGAAGTTTTCTTTAAGTCTTATTTATTTTTAGTAAGGATAGATTAATATCTATAAGGTAAAACACATCAAATATAAAAATCATATAAATATATCCTGAAAATCTATCAACATCGTTTGGTTAATAATTTTATTGTGAAATCATTGACCTGTACAATAAAATCTGACATCGTATAAAAGAAAAAGTGTATAATTTGTTACCCACGGTAAGATGTTTTATCATTTCAGAATAGATCTTCAAACTACAAACCGCGCTCAATAAAGATCCTAGTTTCCTCTTTATAGAAATTTATATCGTAAAAGAAAAGTATCACCACGAACTTTATAAAAATAAAATAAAAACAAAAAAGTTTATTTACGCATAGTGGCCTGTAAGCTGTCATGAAGGGCGCATAGGTTAACAACAATAGTTTTCTACTGTTATTGCTGACTCTTGAAAAGAGTGCGAAAAAATTTTTCAAATTAAAGAAATACGGAACACCATCGGTGTAATAATCAAGAAATTTGTATTAACCAACGGTTTATGTGCATAAATTTTTATTCTATACGCTATTATGAAACTTAGTAGAATGACTAATTTTAATTTTTGTACTGCATTAGAAGTATTAAAAAGAAATTAATTAAAAACTAGTGAAATAATAATTCTGAATTTGATTCATTGCTTGTATTTTTTTATTATTTTCTTACCTATTGATGGTATAGAATATTTAATCACATCCAAGTAAGTCTTTTTTAATTATTCTGGATTTACTAAAAGTTATTAAAATAACGAAATTACCACGAAAAATATGGGGAAAATTGATAAAGAATTATTGAATTGATAGTGTTAATTGATTGCTTTCACTTTGATTCCCTTTAGTCAAAGTAGGTAATTCAGAATTATTTTCTTTTTGAACTTCCGTACAAAAAATAATCTGACAGTTACAAAAATGAATTATTTTAAAAACCTCGTAAATGGCAACTTTACATTGTTCGATTTTTCGAACGCCTTTATTGAACAATAATAATCATACCAAAAACAACTGAAACAGACGACCCGAAAAATTATAGACCGATAACATGTCTCTCCACAACGTATAAGTTGATCACGTCTGTACTGACGAACCGTACTTATTCCTTTTTCGAAACAAACAGCATTCTCCCGCTGGAACAGAAGGAACGCAGAAGAGGTTCATATGGCTGCAAAGATCAACTTCTGATAAATAAGATGATCCTGGAAAATTGCAGGAGACGACGCAGAAATCTAAGTGCAGCGTGGATTGATTATCGTAAAGCCTTTGATAGTGTTCCACATTCTTGGATCCTTAGGACTTTGGAAATGTACAAAGTCTCCCCTGTGGTATTAGATTTCCTTAGGCACAGCATGGGAATGTGGAACACCAAACTATACCTTAGTCACACCGGGGGCACTGCCATATCCAACCGTCTGAATATCCGACGTGGAATCTTTCAAGGAGACTCTCTGTCACCCCTTCTGTTTTGTTTATCCTTAATCCCTCTTACACATGAACTGAACAACAGTAGCTATGGTTACAAAATAAATAAGAAAATATTCAATCACCTACTCTACATGGATGATCTCAAATTCTTTGCCAAAGACGACAATGAGTTGAAAGGCCTCCTCAATATTGTAAAATACTTCAGTGACGACATAGGTATGGACTTCGGATTAGATAAATGTGCAAAAGTTACATTCAAGAAAGGTAGAACTACAGAAACACCCTTAATAGATTTAGATTTTGTCACAAAGATTAGGGAACTGGAGCATGGTGAAGCTTATAAATACCTAGGAATTAGCGAAGGAGATGGCATACAACACCCCCAAATGAAGGAAAAAATAAGAAAAGAGTACTACAGACGTGTACGTCTGGTACTAAATACTGAGCTAAACTCAAAAAACAGAATATCAGCCATAAACACATTGGCTGTCCCTGTGGTGCAATACAGCTTTAATGTCCTTAACTGGACCATAGCTGAAATTAAGCGAATGGACGCCAAAACGAGAACGCTTCTCACTTGCTATCGCATGCATCATCCCAAAGCTGATGTTGATCGTCTGTATGTGCCCAGATCTGAAGGAAGCAGAGGATTAGTTCAACTAGAACTGTCCTACAAAACTACAACAATTGGCCTCCAAAGATACTTGGAAACTACAGAAGACTGGATGATGGTATGCGTCAAGGAACATGAAAGTAGTAAGCGTCTTTACTCCGTAATGAAAGAAGCCAACAAATTCAAAATGGAGTTTCAAATGGGCGTAGAGATGCAACTACAGCACAATACACCGGCTGAAACTGCAAAATACTTAAAAAAAGACAGCAAAGACGAATGCAACCGACCAGATACAGAAGCGATGGCAAGATAAACCGCTTCATGGCCGTACCAAACAAGCCCGTACCAAACAAGGTGACGTAGACAAAACCCGTACCCATCAGTGGCTACGTAGTGCAGGGTTGAAAGCGGAAACTGAAGGTTTTATCCTTGCTGCGCAAGACCAATGCTTGCTAACTAGGAATTATCAAGCACATATACTAAAATATTGTGTCAGCCCAAAATGCAGATTCTGTGATAAATATCCAGAAACGATTGATCATCTTGTATCAGGTTGCACGATGTTGACACCCACTGAATATAAAACCCGACATGACAGAGTGGGCCAATATCTACACTGGAAAACCTGCAACTTCTACGGGAAGGAAACTGAAAGAAACTGGTATGAACACCACCCAGACCCGGTTACGGAGAAAGGACCTGTTACAATTCTATGGGACTACACAATACACACTGACAGAACAATCAAGGCCAACCGCCCAGATATTGTTATTAAAGACCGCAAACAAAAACGGTGCCTCCTTATTGATATGGCAGTCCCTGCTGACTGCAATGTATCTTTGAAGATATTCAAAAAGCTGGCAAAATACAAGGACCTTGAAATGGAAATCTCGAAAATGTGGCATATGGGAACATCAACAATCCCTGTTGTAGTTGGAGCCCTAGGACTGGTTGGAAAAGATTGCAGTAGACTAAGTGAAGGGATTCCTGGAAGTCCATGCCTCAAGGAGATACAAAAAATTGTTCTGACAAGTACAGCCCACACTTTACGAAGGGCTTTATCTATGTAATATTTTTTTTTCGTCAGTGGAAAGTGTCATGATGCCATTTCTAACCTTAGGTCCCTGGGCGTATAAACGCCAGAAATCAAAGAAAATAATAATAATAATAATAATAATAATAATAATAATAATAATAATAATAATAATAATAATAATCTTGTTACGAACACCAACGGAATGAATTTCAAAATTCCATTGCAAAACTGTAAGTAAATTTTTAAAAATTAAATATTCTGTGTAGATTTTTTCCTGTCTAATGAGTTTTATTGCATTATTGATAAGTACATAAAGAGATTTTACGAACATCCCTACCTCACCAAATTAAAAAGTACACACGAAATATCAAAAGTGGGGGACTGATAAAAAAGCAATATCATGATAGTTTTCCAATAGAATTACTTATTTATACAATTAATTTATTAATGAATAAATACTGGAAATTTCGTTTAAATTGGATAATTCACCGATATTTTGCAATTTTTTCAAAAGTAGGTAGCATTTTTTTGCTTTCATTTCGGAAAAATGCATCCATTTTGGTGGTACCTAGACTAAAAGAGAAATATGTGTGCCAACTGGATATATATTTTCATACACATACACATACACACACAAAGATTTAAGAAAAATTGAAAGGATAATACGCAAAATATCTCAAAGTTAATCCACCTTAACTGCTAATAAATTCAGAGTCTACCAGTAAAATTAAGATGATAATAAAATGTCTTGATGGTGATAATTATTGGACAACATAACGATTGTGGAAATGGATGTGCAATGATTTATCGATTTTTTTCCAAGAAGTAAATTTGAGAAAACTCAGATACAATCTAAACTTTAAAAAAATATTTATCTCTGTAAGAAAAAGTTTACTTTTTTTTTCTGTCAGTCGCAAAAATGAACTCTTCAACAACGAATTATGTTTCAAGAGTAATGAAAAAGAAGAAGAAGAAAAAGTTACCGTTATTGGTCGGTTGCATTTCAGTCAAGCGTTATAAAGGATAATAAAAAAAAAACACCATTACCTTATTAAACCTTTATACGGTCTGTGAATTAATTCCCATCTGTAAGCCTTCCTTTCTTTCCACCCCTCGTTTCGTGGGTCTTTCCATAAAAGTCGTACCTAAGAAGAAAAAGACACTTTTTCATGTTATTGCATTTTATAAAATATACAAATATATTAAATTTTAAAAAAACGTTTCGCAATGATTCATAACATTTAACATGTGCTGTTTTCCAACGAAGTAAAATAAATAAATAAATAAATATATATATATATATATATATATATATATATATATATATATATATATATATATATATATATATATATATATTGTGTGTGTGTGTGTCTTATTTATTTCCTCTTTCTTCGCCTGGTGATTGTGCGACTGTAATATTGACCAACTCTACGAATCCACATGAAACTTCTAGTTATGGGTAAGAAGAGTAAAATATAAGTCCTGTTCTTTCTTTAAATACCACAGAGTGTCACCACAAAATTGACATCTTTGAATATCTTGTTTCAATTTTGATAAATAAATCTTTTATTGTTCAACAAGAAGCCTATTTAGTTTCGTTTGCTTGGTACATGTAGTTATATTTTAAATGACGTCAATATTTGGCGGACACCCCGTATTTTATATTTGCTCTGTATTTTGAGTATATTCTATATAGCTACACCGAGCACTTTGTTTGTAGTGTCTACAAACTTAACATATATATATGTTTTTTTTAGACATCTAAATTACTATCAAGCATTAAAATCTATTCTTTACATAAATTGCTAAAACCCAATTACAGCCTCTTTCTCTTTACTTCCCTCTCCCGCTTCTTTCTTTTTCCTTTTTCCTCTTTCTTTTCTCCCTTCTCCCCTCCTATTTCAATATATCACTTCCGTTAAATTAACCGTCTAAATAGGTCAAGGTCTGGTCACTCCCCCTCCCCCAATACAAAGTATGCTTGAGAGAGATATGAAATTAATCCCTCCCTAAACTCTACCATGTCTCTTTAACTACTATTTTACACTCTCTGTTAAATTACAAAAACTTACACTACCCATCAATTTTAATTTCATTTTTCGTTTCATTTCATTTTTGGAAGTGCTATCTGATGATCCGGCGTCCTTTAAAAGGGCTCTGGTGAAATAAATTATTATAATGGTACCTTAAAGTGGTCTGTTTTTCTTTAATATATATATATGTATGTATGTATGTATGTATGTATGTATGTATGTATGTGTGTGTGTGTGTGTGTGCGTGTGTGTGTAAGATAAAAAATGTACATACACGCACGTAATATTGTAAGTAAGTATAAATATATTTCTTCCACAGGTGTTATAAATACAGTGCTCAATGTTATGAGACAGAGCTATAAATTTATATTAGTGAATATATATAATATCCAACGTCGATAGCCCGACTCGGGGTTTTATGCAGTTGCTGCACTCTTTAGGTGCAAATTCAAATACAATCTGACCATTATTTCGCGTTCTCGAGGTGATAATAAAAAAAAATCAAAATTTTATGTTAAAACTTATTTATTTAATTATTGTTGCCTAAAATATTAGAATTAACTAATAATAATTTATATAATTCAAATTCATAAGTTTGAAAGGTGAAGAAATAGAAAATTAAAGAAATTAAATTTTTTTTAAGTTAATTGAATTTATATTTACATTCAAAAGTAAAATAAATATCATGGGGTAACTCTCATTTTTTACAAAAATATATAGTATCAAATAACAAAACTAATAATCAGGATGTAAATATAATGTAAAGATTGTATTTGCACCTGAAGATTGCAGCAACTGCATAAAACTCTGAGTCGTGCTATCGACGTTGGATATTATGTATATTCACTAATATATATATATATATATATATATATATATATATATATATATATATGCATATGTGTATCAGTCGAGTCACACTCACTTATTACTCGCACTCCAGCAACCCACAAACGCGTGTTTGTGCACCTCTGCAAGTTGATATTACTCATATCGAAATATATTATTTCAAAAGTTCGTGCCCGATTAGAAAAATAAAAACAAATTTATTAGTCAAATAGTCTCCATTGTTATTAACAATTGTCTCCCATCGTTGTACAAGCTTGTTGATGCCATTAGAAACTTCGTGTTTTTTATATTTTTTGTTGGAAGAAGATTGTGAGGTAGTTTTTGAATGACTGTACAGTCAAATATTTTGTCATTTAAATCCGAAGGAGCCAAGTCAGGAGAATTTGGTGGGTGCTGGAGGGTGTGTTCCATTTCAACTCTTTAAGCTTCTGGAAGGTCTGTTTTGTTGCCTTGTATTGTCGTGGTAGAAAATGGCACCTTTTCGATTGACAAAATCAGCCGTTTTTCTTGAATATCCACTGAGTTGACCGCAATACTTTTTTGTAGTTATCATTTTGCCGGCTAGAAGATGCAATCCAACGACATGGACAGAACGACTTCATTGGATACAAACCCGCTTTAGCTACGGGTTCTGCACATTCACAAACTTGTTTCCAGCTCCATTTGCGTTAAACGTTATCATAAACAATCCATTTTTCATCGCCTGTGACAATTCTATCCAAGAAGGTGTCGAGTTTGGAAACGCACACAAGCCTCTTCAAATAGCAAACAAAAGGCAATTGCAATATCGTTTTTCAAACTCTTAGCAATTTTTTCCGTCGAAATCTTCGGTTTATTCTCCATGATAGCAAGCAGAGCGTCTTCGACAGCGTCGGAAGTTTGTCCGGGGCGTGGGTGATCGTTTAAGTTAAAAAAAATCACTCTGACGAAATCTGCCAAAACACTTTTAGATCGTCGAACGAGCCAGCGCACGGTCCTAATAAACCTTATGAATGTTTTTTTTTTTTTTTTTTTTTTCCCGGCGTTTGCTCCTTTCCAAAATTCATAAGAGCATAATATAGCGGAAGTGCAAATTTTCATCCTTCATTTTTCAGGCATTTATTTGTTGTCAAAACGTCAGTATTCAACAAAGCCTGACTCGCAAGTGAATGATGCAAGGTTTCAATCTAAAACACACCAGAAATCGGCACCCAAAGAAACGCCAGAGTTAAGTTGCCATCATTTTATATTAACAATGAAAATCAGGCACAAACTTTTGCAATGATCTGATATGTAGTTTCAGTGTAAGCTCACGTACACAACATTTTAAAGGATAGTTGTATATTTCTTCTTATTATGAACGTTATAATTACTAGATACACGTGTTTGAGTAGGTACTCTTGATTTTTTTTATAAACAATGAAATCACTATCTACCGGTCTAGTGATCGACAGTCCTACTAAATTTTATGTGATGTCTACTCAAACACGTTTATTCACTAAATATAACGTTTATAGTAATAATAATTAATGCCTGATGAAAAATAAAGACCCATTATTCAGAACGTACTAATCTAGTTGTGTCAATAAAAATATCATACTCATTATTATTCAACTGTACCATTCTAGATATGTTAATCAACGTGATTTAATTTCGCGAAATAATTTATTGCAGCAATCTGAACTTTAACTTTTCTTCTTTTGGTTAAATTTTAACTTTTTTAATTGTCAAGTTGAATTGTTAAAGTAAATTCGGTTAACGTAAAATACTTTGTAAAACAAACGGCAAATCGAAAATGTCTGAATATAAGAATGTGAAAACATTTTTACCTGATCATGTGTGTCACCTGTGTGCCAAAGAGCGTTTCGCAAATATTGACCAGGACCTGTTGATGAATTCACCAACTTAAGCTGAATTCCTGGTTCAGCTACAGCCCGGAAAGGCGTAGAATGCCAATAAGTTTGCGTATTCTTCTTCCACATCACAACATAAAAATGTGAACTATCTTGGTAGCTGAATATAAATCCTGCATAATCATCATCGACTTCCGTATTTACATAAAATGTCCCACTAAAATCCACTCCAGCAAAAGCCGTGTAACCTGAAAGGTTTTAATATATATATAATAATTATTCGGCAAGGTGAAAATTGTGTAAAATAAATGACAATATAAAATGGAAAAAATGAACTGTACATAATGCGTATTTAATGTGGACACAAATTGAAGTGTTAAAAAAAATAAGAAACAACTACCTAATAACATATAGCTCTTTCTTTCGCTTGAATAACGGTGGTTAAGGGACATGCTGGAATCGTTGCGGGAGTATATCTAACCAGAGTAATTGAGGGTTGATCGTATTTATTTAACCGCAGTGATTTTTAGTGAGGTGTCCCATACAATGAAGTTTCAATCGAAACATGTTTCTGGGAGCAATTTCATGGATTCTCACGCGAGTAATTTTTTATATTATTATTTTTTATCTTGCTGGAATAAACCATCGCCACCGAGAAACAATGTGAATATAAATGGGTGCAAATGGTGTATGCCATCATTTGCTCCCCTTCAGTATATGTCACACCTATCAAGGCAGATCCAATGACAATGAGGCGCAGTAATTGTTGTGTTGAGTGACACGAACAATGAATATGGTTGTTATTTGATGAAATGCTCCCCTTTCGTTAGATGGTCTCGTTCGTGCATCACCTGCGAATGCCTGTAATTATTATGTGCCACCGATGTCTGTCCAGAATTCTCTGATATCACCTTGCTACTGTGAGTGAGATAATTCAGTTGTAGTTGAGTGAGTTAGACATGCAAATAATAGAAAAGGCGGGACACCTGAGAGTGGCAGTGACAAACTTATAAAACGACAAAAAAAAACCACAATCGAAATTTTCAATTTAAAATATGATTAGGCATGGATACCTGGGAATGGTTGTACTTGAAGAGAAAAGCATACTCTAGACTGGAAAAATATTTAGCTTGTGGAGACAATGAGAGAGGTTGCGTTGGAAAAACCCCGCAGAACAAACAAACAACGCATTTCTCAGTTTACCTTTAAATTCGTCCGCATTTACCCCACATTAATTGTTGCTTATTTTGTCCTGGAAGCACAATAAATAAATATGAAATAAAATAATAATTTTTGTTTTCTAATTCAGGCTTACAGAAGGAAAAAAGAATTATTTTATTCCGTTCGTAATTCCAAGCACCTTACCGAATACAACGGACACCTGAAGAAGACCAGAAAGTTCAACAACTGAAACATTGTGCTTATTACAACCAGTGATAACAATCAGTATATAATATACAAACCTAAAAACGAAACAAAAGTACCGCAAATTGTGATAAAATATTATAATGTCATATCCGTTGAAAACAATTAGCAATGTTGTACAGAAAGAGAAAGATTTCACTTTCTATCCTATAATTTAAATAGGCTTCAATAGACCAATTTGAATTTGGGCGTCTTAAAAGTACGACATTTGCCAAAAGCAATTACTGTTAATTCTTGACATCAAATATGTAACTACTGATTATAGCGATAACGCTGTGAATATTAATTTTTACTTAGACATTTTTGTTTTGTCAATAGAATGAAGGATTGGTTCATTTCCAGAAATATTTAAACAATGATTAACAACATCAAAATACTGAAAACATTGAGCAAATAATTGGAGCTGATTTTCTTTTGCTGTGTTAATTGGAATAAACACTTGAAAGAAAAAAAGATTAAATCAAATTTGTAGGCAAGTGTCTTTTTGGTACATTTTAACAAATTTCACAGTACTGGTTCCTCTTAACTATTATATTCTGTCAAACATTTAATTTTCAAGATGAAGTCTTGTTTATGATGAAATATTCATCAAATGACGAGGTTAATTTTATGTGGTATTTAAAAAATAAAAGTGCCTGCCCTGTATTTCCAAAATAGTTTTAAAATAGTAAATTAGAACGTTACAATTTACTTTAATTAACTTTGTTACTAACTTGTTCCTCCCAAAGACGGTTGTGCCTATGGAGTACATATGATATATAATGCTCTGAGTGTCAATAAATGGCAATAATGCGGAAGAACCAACTCAAAATATCCATTGTGTTTATAAAATAAATTTGTAGGGACATTATTATCATAAATGAATAAAAAATAAAATAAAATAATAATAATAATAAATATAATAATAATAATGAAAATTATAAAAAAAAAAACATAAAAACGTTGTATAAAATAAATTAAATAAGAATTAAAAGTAATAAAAATACTCCCAGCATGCAATAAAAACTCTTCTTGTCGGAAATACGGACATCCCGCTAAAAGACGTTAAATTCAAACTCTTCGCCACGAACCCTCAGATAGTCAACACGTGTTCAACCTCTCTCTAACATGGCGTGTAACGAAGTAAATTCTTCCTCTCATTGCACATACCATGAAACATTTATAACCGAAAATACACATACCAGTACGCTTAAAAAATAAATAAATTGTATGAAATTAACAGACAATATACTATGCTTTCGTGTTATTTCTGTACGTTTTATTTCTTGTCAAGTATGTTTTTTTTCATTAAAACAAACATTTCTTCAAAAATCAGTCATTAGAAAAATTTTAAATTTAATTATTCATTTTGAAAACAAATCAAGAACACTTACTGATAGCAATTCCCGGATCGCTATTCATTGTCTGCACAATTTCAGCTCCCTACATAGAATAGAAATTTATAAAAATGTTAAAATAAAGACAATGCAAAAACGGATATTTTCTGAATTTTCTTTTCTCTTCTAAAATATAGAGTCAAAATGCAAACATGCAAGAAAGCAATGAGGTATCAAGTTGATAAACAATTTTTATTTAAATCCGAAATTTTATTCACATATAACATTAACAAATAAAGTTAAAATTAAAAAAAAATTCAAAATTCTTTTTAAAATACTAGGGGTAACAGATTTATAGTAATCTTTTCCATTTATGATTAGTAAATATAATTTTTACTTAATTTTTATCACCTAACAGTTACAAATTAATACAGAATTTTCAAAGATTTAAAACTATTTCAGAATTTTTCTTAATTTTGTTTGGCCCCTAAAATTTGATTTTAAATTCATCGAGGACTCATCCTTATAACAAATATACACATTAAGCGATGCAAAAAAGAATTTTTTGAAATTTCACATGAATGCATGTATGTGTGTGTGTGTTTGGGGGGGGAGTGGGGTTAACAGATGTAAAATAAAACAAACATTTTTTTACCAAGATTTTTGACAAAGAAACATTCAAAAGAATAATTTAATCCATTTCTGAATAAGTTTTGAAAATTTCATTCAAATCCGACAATTATCTGATTTTGGTAAGAATTCCCAACTCAATTTCACCTCCTGATTTAACACCAGAAAGCTAAAATTTTCAAGTTTCTAAAAAGGATAAAATATAATTTTGACATAAAAAATAATTTTATTTTCCCTCTTAAAAGATTTTGTCGATAATTTTTTTTTATTATATTTCGGGCATTTTTTTTCAAAACGTATGCTTTTTTAGTGAATCTTTGGCAGTACATATATATATATATATATATCTGTACCGCCAAAGATATATATATATATATATATATATATAGAAAAAGTTTCAAATTAAAAATTATAATGTTTTATTTTATGAAAGTATTTATTTATTTATATATATATTTGATATTTCAAATTGTCCTCAATTTTTCATCAGAAATAACTGTTTGTTACAAATAAATTAAAATTACTGTTTGTTGGCAAGTAGCGTCCTTCGCGAGACGCGGACGTCACGTGATATGGAACGTCACTGTTCAGATATTCCTAACTTAAATCTAACTGTCATAAATATTTTAAAAAAAATTTTTTACTATATCTAAAGAAACTGCTTAGCTATTGAAATATTTATAAAGATTTAAAACACCTAAGTCCCTATTCAACCCTAATTTATGTGTATTTAATTTTAAAATCAATATGTTTCTTTTTTTTCTGCGTGTGAATGTGGAAGTAAAATCGGAATCTATTAATAAACATTTGCAGTTTTCTAATGTGTGTCCTGATTGATTGTAGTGTTTAGCTATGGGGGAATAAGGGTTGTTTTGACGTATTGTTTGTTTATGGTTATTAAAACGAAATCTAAAATTGTTTCCAGACTCACCAATATATCCACTATTAGGACATAAGTTGCAGAATAAATAATAGATTACGTTATGGGTATCGCAGGTGAGGTTAGGTGGCTGTATCCTGATATTGGTGTTGGGTACGTAAAATGTATTAGCTATTACTAAATGTTTGCAAACTAAGCAACGAGGTTTGTTACATTTGTAATTTCCTGTTTGGTTTCTATTGTTTAGATATTTGGTAGAGGTGAGGATAGCTGATAAGTTAGGTGATTGTTTCATTGGATTTATGGGTGGTTTATCGAAAATGTCTTTGATCTTGTTGTCTAATTGGAGGTTCTTGTAATCATTTTTTAATTTATGAATAAGTGTGTGGGAATATTGATTGTGGTTAAAAACCATGGGAATCCGATTGTTGTTTTTATTTTTCTTGTATGTGAGAAGTGTGTTACGATTTATCATGATAGTTTTATTTAGTGCTTCTTTTATTATTTTTATTGGGTATTTGCATTTTAGGAATTGTTTTGTTAAGTTATTAATATTGTATAGAAAATCTAAATGGTCTGAGCATATGCGTTTGGTTCTAAGAAATGAGCTGTATACAATAGATTTTTTTAATTTAAAGGGATGACAGCTGTTAAAGTGCAGGAATTTATGTTGGTTTGTGGGTTTGTTGTATAGACTGGTAGAAAGTGTATGTTTGTTTAATTTTATCATAACGTCTAAGAAAGGGATGGATGTGTATGAGTGCTCCATGGTAAATTTAATTGTATCGTGGAAATTGTTGCAGAAAGTGAAAAAGGTTTTTAATTTTTCTGATCCATGAGTCCATAATAAGAAAATGTCATCAATATATCTAAAGTAATGTGATGGTTTATATTCCGAATTGTCTAGTATCTTCTTTTCTAGAATGTGCATAAAGATATTAGCATAACTAGGTGCCATTTTTGTGCCCATTGCTGTGCCACTAATCTGTAAATAGTGTTTGTTGTTGTATTTAAAATTATTATGTGTTAAGATGAACTTTATTAATTGGCATATATCTGTAATTTGGTAGTTAGGTAATTTTTTGTTACTAAGGAACTCATAGCAAGCTGATACTCCTTCAACATGTGGAATGTTCGTGTAAAGGGACGAAACATCCATCGTTACTAGGATTGTATCATGGTGGACTAAGTTAATGTTTTTGTAATTTGCTGAGAAAGTCAGTAGTGTCTCTAATATAACTAGGTATGTCAGGCAATAAAGGTTTTAGGATATTGTCTATGTACCCAGATATAAGTTCTGTGAGGGTGCCAATGCCTGATATTATGGGTCTAGCAGGTGGCATGATTTTAAGGGTTTTGAAATTTCATAGATGTTCTCTTCATTATTTGATTGTGTAATTTGATGTGGGTCGGATGAAAAAAGTGTTAGGGTGTTTTTCTGAAATGATTTTGGGGAGTTTATGTAGTTTTGGGATAGTGTAGAATGTTGCTGTTTTAGGGTTCTCAGGAATAAGAGATTTTATGGTATTTTTTATGTTGTAGTTCAGGTTCTGAGTGAGAAGTGATAATTCTGTTTTGAATGTGCTAGTTGGGTCTAGAGGTAAGGGTACATAGAATCTGTTATTTTGAAGTTGTGATTCTGCTTCTTTAATGTAGTGGTTAGTGTCTAAGATGGTTATAGCTCCGCCCTTGTCGGCTGGTACGATAATTATGTCTCGGTTGTTTTTAAGAGTATAGATGGCTTGGTGTTCTATTTTGGATAATATTGTTTTTTAAGAAGTAATCCATGTGTTGTCTGGCTTTGTGGGCATATTGATCCAAGTGTTGGTTACGTCCGCTTGGTGGGGTCCATATATTGTTCTTCGTCGGAGGAAGTTTGGAGCATGATTGGTTAGCGCTGTTGTCTGTATTAGAAGTAGGTTTGTTGTCTGAGAAATATTCTTTTAGTCTCAGTCTACGAAGGTATTTTTCCATATCGTAGCAAAGGTTTAGAGGTTTTAGTGGTTGTGAGGGGCAGAATGATAATCCTTTATTTAATAAAGAGGTTTCTCCTTGGGTGAGAGTGTATTTAGATAGGTTAGCGATGTGGTTGTCAGCAGAGGTAGTATTGGTGTAGTGAACATAATGAGATCTTCGTGGGATCTGTTGTATTAAATAATCTTTCAGGTAAGTTATGTGTTGTAAAATGGGGTCCTCAGCAATTAGTTTATTGAGTTTTTGGTTTTTCAAAAATATACACTGTGTATATATATATACAAATACAAGTATAGGGTTGGTGTATACGGAATAAATTCCAATAACCAAAATGAGTAAATTCTTAAAAGAGTGCTCAATACAAAGTAGAACAAATATGATTATTTATTCGAAAATTATAACATAAATATGTTATAAAATCACTACAAAAATAGCCATTTTGTTTCAACACTTCTGGTTGATAGATAAGAATCAAGTGATGGTGCTGAATGTAGAATAAAGGGTTTTAAAAGGTTCAAATCAATCAAACACACATCGCTAGGGGAAACGCTGTTACATAAACTGCAATGACCAATCAAAATACAAGTATATGAGAATTCAAAAAACTTGACAACGAACTTTGGTTATAATAATTATTTAATGCTTTAATGTTAGGGTTAGACTAAAATAGAATTCATTCTAACTAATTAATATTAAATTATACTATAAAATTCAAAATTCAAAATTACCAATTTTAAATTTAATCGATATTAAGTTTAAAAATTATGAAATTATTTAAAGAAGAAACTGAGAAAAAAATACATATGTTTTGTTATTTATTTTGTTTTTATTGAAAGGCCAAAAATTAAGTTGGAATAAACATTAAAATCTAATGTTGCTCTGAGCTCAATTACAATTACAATTTAGATACATTTGAAGTGAAGATATGGACAGGGGAGGGTGAAATCTTGCAAAAGACAATACATACACAATCAGATTATAATACACAAATACATATTTAGATATATAAACACGCCAAAAAGCGACGAGACAGGAAAAGAAAACGACAACATATACATACAATGAAAGGTACATATAAGCGATTATACACACATTCATTGATAAAGACATGCACATATACCAACCAAGAAATATTCAAATTTGAAAGTGTTAGTAAATGAATTCTAATATCCTATTAAAATATAACTTATACGGGCAAAGATATATATATATAAATGGTTGAATAGATAAAGTTTAATATGGGTAGAATAGAAAAACAAATATTCTTCAGTGAATGACATAAGGAAAAAGGACACTAAAATATATAGAAATGGGTAGAAAAATAAATAAATACGCATAATATTATAAGCATAAAATAACACTATCTAATATATAAAAAAGAAAACTCCTAAACACAGAAATATATATAAATATATATTCTACATTCAACACCATCACTTGATAAGACACCAGAAGTATTGAAACAAAATGGTTATTTTTGTAGTGATTTTATAACATATTTATGTTATAATTTTCGAATAAATAATTATATATATATATATATATATATATATATATATATATATATATATATATATATATATATATATATATATATATATATATATATAAAAAAAAAAAACAGTCTGTCGGCGGATGACTATATATATATATATATATATATATAGGTACCTCAAAACAGACATATATATATAAAGATAGACAACAGAACTATTTGACACAAAAATGTTTACACAACTGCTGATCTGTAATAATAGTGTTTATATTTCGTTAGTCAAATACAGTTCAAGGGAAATAACTCATAACTAAGTGTTTATACAATTAGCATTTTTAATGAGATTCAAAATTCCTGTTCAATTTATTTCATTTTTAAACAAACATTTTAACAATAGTTTCTTTTTGTTTCTTTATTCATAAATGTTAACCGTTCATTTTTATTAATTAAAATGCAGGAGGACATCACTTAAATAAAATCTACTTTATTTAATATTTATAAACTTTAAAATTCCACTCAATAAATTGTAATTTATTTATTTTGTACAAAGTTAACAAAGAATTCCTAAAGAAACGATCTTAGTAAATACAAAATAGAGATTCCATCAATTTGAAATTTAGATCCTTCTAAAACATTTTACTTTTTATATTTATCTAAATTATTTTTATTTGCCTCAGTTTTCAAATGAATTTGATTACATTTACATCTCTTAACAATATGCAAATGTGTAATAAAGTTTGATCTTGCATGCCTCTAGGGAATTAAGAGACAAAGAATATCTGCTAATGGGGAAAAAAGTCTGGATAATTTGCACTGAAATGGAAAAATGTTTCAAGGGAGATAAACTATTAATTAATAATTATAGCTTATTTCCCTTACTTATTTATTTGTATATGCGTAAAACAAAATCTCGATGAAAAATGTTTCCGATTTTACACATAATACACAGAAGGGAATGTAATTGAATTCAATTATAATCTCATTTCCATCATATAATGGTCAAACAGGTTACAGTATTGTTTAGTTTATATTAAATATGTAAACTAATTACAGTATTTTCTTACAAATTACTAAGTTTATCGAGTTAGAGAAGCTAGTAACAAAGATTATGAAATCAGCCGAACGAAAAATAAAAACCTGAATATCTTTTTCTTCTATGTGCCGTGTCATTTCAGGACGTTGGTGATCATAGCTCTCCACAACTTTCAATATTTGTCTTTTTACTATCCCTCTTTTAATGTTTCTATTTTCATTATCACTACAAGTCTCTGCTCTGGTATCCATTTACACAAGTTCGTTAAGTAGGTTAGTTACTGCTTTCCTGTGTCCCTCTTGCTTTCAATATACTCTCAAATTATCCAAGTCATCTTTCCACATCAATTTCAACTGTTTCTTTCTGATTTTATGTATAATTATCATTTTTTTCCATTTTCCTTAACATTTCCTTGTTGCTTATATGCACCGTCCATGATATCCTCATCATCCTTCTGTAGAACTACATCTCAAGTCTTCTGTTCCTTTATGAGGAAATTAACCAACATTTACTGCAATATTGGAAGATTAATATTACATAGCTTTTCAGTACTCTTTTCTTTGTTTGTAACAATTTTTTCTTATTTCTTAATACTTTATTTAGACTTTGGAAATCATCGTTTGCTATTCCAATATACCTTTAGATTTGGTGGTCACATTTTCCATCCTCTATTAAAATACTTCCCAAATATTTTAACTTCCGTACTTGTCTGATTTTGACATCCTCAATTTAACTTTAGCTTTTTCTCTTACTGACAACGATACATTATGCCTTCATACAATTGATGGTAGTACTTTCTGCTCGCTTTCTTTCTCTATGAAGTTCTATAGTATTCTTTTTGCATCTGCTATCAACACAATGCCATTCGCATATCTTATACTGTTACGATAGTATTCACCAATAATAAATCCTGGTAGGATCTCCAACTCGCTTAGAATAGCCTCGCTGTAAAGGTTGAATAAATCCGGCGAGAAAAAACATCCTTGTCTTACGTCTCTTTCTATTTTTGTGTACTTGTTCAATTCATTTCTTACCCGTATGCAAGCGGTTTGCTTCCAATCTCTAGATTGTATTCAGTTCAAACAGATCCTTGTGCCCTAATTTATCAAACGCCTTTGCGTAATCTGTGAAGCATAAGCATACATTTTTCGGTACTGGTATTGCTCTCGCTGAAAGTATTTTGATCATAAATATAGCATTCATTATTCCAATGTCTTTGTTAAAAGCCCACTTATCCTATTTCCGGTCTAATTCTGCTTCATGCTCTGTTCATCACAATTCGAATTATAAGCTTAGTTATATGGCTCATTAAGCTGATTGTCTGATGGAGGTCTCATTCATTTGCTCCTGGTTTCTTTGGTAGCGCGACGAAGATGGATCTACTAAAGTCTTCCGGTATGTCAAGAGTCGTATATTTCGTTTATAATTTCTGTAATCTTATCGATGTCAAAATTGTCTAATGTTGAGTGTATTTCTATTACAATCCCATCAGCATCTGCTGCTTTGTTTCTGTTCCTCTTTTCCAAAACCAATCTTACTTCAGATTTTAATATTTCAGGTCCTGCAATATTTTTGTTTACTGCAGACCTCACTATCTCTCTATCTCCCTCTCCCTCTCTCGTTGCGAAATAGTTTTCCACCGTTTTTAGAGGAAATAAACCATATTTCCAATACAATTACATGCCAATATACATATCATATCTTCCTTTTCTACCCAATAACAGACAATATTACAAACATGTCAAAAAGATTCCACAATGCAACACACACCATTTAAATCAAAGTGTCTATTTGTTATAAATTAACATCAAATGTGAAATATCTGAGCAATCAGAGAAAACTAAAACCCTATTTTCTCGAGCCTATTTTCGTGAAACATTCCTTATAAAATCCCACAAATTTCGACTTTTAGTAAGCAGAGATGTGACTGTCTTGTAGCCGAACGTGGCTACATAGCTTTTTCCTTTCCCCACAGCGCGTGTTGAAATAAAAATGTATCGGAGACTTCAAAGAATCATCTCCAACAACAACAGTAGAGACGGTCAGTGAATCTTCGCTGACGATCATATGTCAGCGACTTCAAACGAATCATCTCCAACAAGAAAGACGGTCAGTGAATGTTTGCTAACGATAAAAGACTTTTCTCAACCTCAGCTTTTTTTTCTGTAGGCCAACTATTTAAAAGTCTTTTCTAAACTATCGATTTTTCTGCGAACCAACAACCCAAAGACTTTAATTCAACTAAATACTAATTTTTACTCCTTTTCGACTCTTTTGAATTTATGTACGTGTGTTTGTAAACACAAATGTTTTATAAAATTAATATTTTTTAGATTTGTTATTCTACTGTAAACATTTTTTGTTTTGATTTCAAATACACATTTCTTTTTTTTGGTTTGTACTTATGTCCTATAATTATACCTACAGATTTTTCAACATATAATACTTATATAGAATTTATAGAAGTTAATGTTTCTAAAAAAGTAAAACTCACCTGGTTAAGAATGACCCAATTGGGATCAATTTGCGAGTCTCCCTCTGGATCAAGAATGACGGTTTGATACGCGCGAAAATCGGTTGCATAGATATTACCATTGTGTGGACACACATCGATGAAATCTTCGCTTCCGTCTCCATCCTTGTCGATCTCACAAATATCTCCAACACCATTACCTATCAAAAAAAAGCTAACTTGATTTAGAATTATAATAAAAATAATTTTGTTAATTTTGGATAATGCAGTAGATCTACATTTTTACACGTGAACTACATTTTTATTATTGGATATTAAAACAGTCAAAATAAAATTGAACGTAAATATATGTAAAAATGGTCTTTGTAGAATTTCTTTAAATTGAAACAAAGAAAAAATAATTTATTATATCGAATAAAAGCATTATACAATGTGCTTTGAGTTACATAAAATATGATATGCGTATCTTTCTATGCTGTAATCACAAAGTGCTTCTGTATTTTTCGTTATTGTCAAATCATCTTAAATCTTTCCTAAAACGTTAATATCAACTCATAAATATACTGCTATTAGCAGTAAGACTGACAAAATCAGTGGTAAAATAAGAACACTTACGCGTTTTTAGTTCGAGAATAAATTCTTTAAAAATGTATGTTCATTCTATATAAAAATTTGAATTTCGTCTGAATAAACTAAACAAATTGTACCATTCAGAAAAGAGAGAAATACTGCTGTTCTTGCAAAAAACAGTTCGTCAAATTCTTTTAGGAGAAGACTCACTCAAATAAATTCATCTTTCAGTGATCGGATAGTCTGCTTTTGAGATTATATCTATAAAAACAGCTCTAATCAATTTCGCAACTATCACGTTTAGTGTTTTAAAGTTTCTACTGAAATTAATATTCAAAATGAATATTCAACTCATACCATTAACCAGCCTTTTCGTGCTAATCATTGATTACGTGGCCACAAATGGGTGTTAATGTTGAACTGCTGTCTTAGTCAATTGTCTTTTCCCAACTAGTTCAGTGTCTCTCTATCACACATACACACGCGCGAACGCACACATAATAAAACAAAAAAAATAAAAAGGCAATGACTATAATTGATAAAAAATGTATTTGTAACTTCAATTCTAAAATGTATCATTTTTATTAGCCTCAGTGTATCGGGACATTAGTCTTCCTCATATATTACATAATGTTTGTTGTCACAATATAAAAAAAAAACATTGGATATAACAAATAAAAAGATAGATTGAAACCCGAAAAAGAATTTGGAACTGATTTCATTCGTTCATATCGTATCAAGTAAATGCTGACAAAATCACAAGTATAAAAACAATGTCCGATGAAGTACAAGACTCGACGGTCATTACAAAAAGACTGATTATAAAAAGCTTTAATAAATGTATTTTCCTATAAAAACCAATAAGTGCCTATACATTATTGTTAGCAAGTCGCAATACACTTCGAGCTATATTGCTTTGATTGTTATAGGAACTGCATTGATTGATTGCATTGATATACCGCTATATAGAAATATGTAAGAATTAAGAAGTTGCTTTTAGTTTAACAAGAAGTCATGTAAGCAATAATCATATTGAAAAAGGGAAACAATCTTCGATGTCAAACAGAATAAAGCATTTCATAAGAGAAAGAAAGTACCATCTTCATCCTCTTGTCTTGGGTTCATTCTCAAAGGACAGTTATCATTTACATCGAGGACACCATCGTTATCATCATCATTATCACAAATATCACCTGGAAAAGACAAACAAAATCAACCATTTCTGTATTATGACTACATTTCCATCATGATCAGCTTTATAAAAAAAAACGTATGTTTTATTATTCTTTAATAGTTGGATAAAATATTTTCACCTCCTCCGTTAATGCATGCATTTACTATAATTTCATACGACATGCATATTTACATAAACATAAGCGTTTAGTTCAAATGACATATTTGTTGATATTTATTATTATTATATAATTTACAATAGTGTATTTTATACGATTAAAAAGCAAAGGGACAAGGGCGCCGGTAGGCACACGCCTAAAGACCCGACCAGTTTTCCTCCAGCTGAAGAACGGGTTCAAAGTCCAACGATACAGACCCAAGCGACCAACTTGTTGCAGTTAATACTGGCTCCTGTCTATAGGCGTACGAGAAAAAATTTTACAGGGAAGAATCCAGAACCACTTCACATTTCTTGAAATATTTCAAGGAAAGGTTTCAAAGAGAGTCAAGGATAACGGTAACAAAAATTTGCTTTACCGTGAGATCTTAAAGGATTTTCGGTCGCTCCTACTCACAACCAAAACCAGGTGCAATGTTCAATGGTTTCTGTAATAACAGTAGGAATTGACGATGAATTCTATCAAATACGACGGACTGCTTAAAATTAATCTGACATCAAATTCGTCTTCTGGATAGTCTATGATCGCATGAACCTAATGTTGAGAATAAATATCCAATTCTCCGTTTATCCAACTGATCATCACTTATGGATAGAAATTGACCCATTGCCTGAAAATGCAGTTGACAGAGATTTCTATTTAATTTTTTATGTTTTAAAATTTGAACTAATTACATTTTAGGTGTCAATTTGTCAATCAAAACTTAATAAATATTGATTCTATTCATTTTGATTGATTCGGAAAAATATGGAGATTTGTTTAGTAAACATGTTAATAATTATTCACTCATATAAAACATTCTGTTAATATTTCATACTTGGTAACATGCCTAAATTTAGTTATACTTTAGAGACCACCTATGTTAGTGAGATTTTTTCAAAATCATATAAACATCAATAAATCTCTTTATATCTCTTTTTAATAACATAAACGACATTCCCTATTAACAAATAATTTATGAAATCAAAGTTGAATAAGTTGAAATTTATTGAGATTAATTAGAGTATCTGGAAGTTACACAAGTGTTTGGAGCTGCACACAAATCATCACTAGGAAAGAAAAATGATGTGCTTAAAGGTGTGCAAATGGTGTGAAACAATATCTGTGTATGTCGCATCTATCAAGTACCAATAATGGTATAGTGGTCGAGGGGTCAATAATAGTATAGTTTTCGAATGGACAATAATGATACAGGTCCCGAGGGGTAAATAATGATAACTTTGTTGGTTGAAGTCTACGTAAGTGTATGAGTGTAAGATGAAAATAAATTTCCCTCTTTCTGGCCTCAACGATCATTCTGCTGTCAAAATATATTAAATCCTGTCCGCGCTCCTGTAGACCAAAGCCTCACATATGTCATACGACTGAATCCATTTCTAAAAGTTGACTGCACTTCAGTTTGGTTATTATTGATATCATTGGCTATTATTAAAGATTTTTCAATCTGTTTAAATTGTGGAAGCATAATGTTAGTAAAATTTGTTTAAAGCATTGAGAAATCGGTATTTGATATGTGATAACCAATAACTGCTTAACACTTTCGGAATTCCTGTGTAATATTCGACCTTCTACAATTATAAAGGCCATAAATATATCTTTGGAATCATTTGGCTCCCAAGTATTTTGTGCAGTGTCTTCTGGTGCATAAACTAGCTAATAGATATTTGGGTGGTATATTTAAAAGCCTATTTCTCACCTAATGTATCTCCGTCGGTATCCAGTTGGTCTGAATTTGCAATATGCGGACAGTTATCATTCGTATCCTGCACTCCATCGTCATCTCTGAAGCAAAAAGAAATAATGACTGTAAGGCAAAAACAAAAATACTTCCGATAAGTATTGACATTTTTAAAAGGATATCGATTTGGCTATTGGAAATTCAGTTACTATAAAAAGATTTGAAAATTGAAAGTTGCATATTCAACTAAAGTTTTTAAGTTATCATAACTTCAATTACGATATATCCTAGTGATGATATTGTTCCCTGAATTGCGGCAGTATCTTTGAATAATATGAATGATTAGTTTGATAATATTCAATATTTATAAGCGAAAGTTATTCGAGAAGAACTAATTCCACGATCGAAATGGATGTAACTAGAGATGTTTGTCATTCATACAAATAAATATTATTATGAGAGAATATTATATAAAAATGTCTATACATCAGAACAATGTTAGGTAAATGAATGACTAATTGGAAAATTCTGTTTCGTCCTATAAAGGACGAAACACATTATACAGAATTTGTTGAATTTGTTCACGACCCCCCCTGTTTCATGTGTTCATATATGTAAATTAAAAGCTACATAGAATACTTTCTCCGATTAACTTTTATTTAATATACTCCATTATCAAATATATCGTAAATCTGAAGAAGCCAGCAATCTAAAGTGATTAATTATTTTTGATAGTTTATATAAGAAAGTGATCTCTGCTGTTATATCTACAACAGCTTTTCATTGTCTTCGTTTGGAAATTATCAAAATACGCCTAAATATTATATAAATACAAATAAAACAGATAATTTACCTAATACGATAGTTTTACAAATTACACGTTGCAATAAAACTAAGTATAATTCCAAATTACTTACTTATCATCGTTAGTGTCGCACGCATCCCCTGTCAAATCCGCATCACTGTCTAACTAAAATAAGCAAATAAAATATAATTCATTTTTATCGCATTTTGAAACATTGGATTGCACTGAAGATATGATAATTTTCATATATATCGATTCTATTTTAGCAATATAAGCAAATATTTCTAAGCAGTTGTGTGCAAATGTTTCTAGCCTTTTTTTAAAATGTCTTTCAACTGTCTATGAAGTCTTTAGCCTTTAGCAAAAAGCGCTGGGAACTTTTGCACACGCTTACCAAATTCCTACCCATTATCTGAATATTTGATATTGATATAGGTAACTCTATAGAAAAGGTTTAAAATGAATTTTTAAAAATGAAAAATTTTTCTTGAAGCTTTTATTTTAGTTTCAACTTTAAGCTAATAGATTTAATAAAGATAATTTAATATTTCCAACGAGCAAAATAATTTTCTGTATTTCAAAACTAATTTAAATTGATTGGAAGGGGGTTTTGTTTTGAAATCAATAAAAATCACTGATTTTAACAACATTTTTAGCTATCTGTCAACACAATGTAAATCTCTTTATTAAAAAATCTTTCAAAAATAAAATATACTTTTCTGAAACTTTATTTGAGGAATATTAACTAATTTAAAGTTTAATTAATCTAATTTGAAATACTACTTACTTTTAGTTTAAAATATCGCAGAAATGCATTTTTAACACGAAGGTAGATGTTTATTTAAGGTGTTGACTGACAAACGGAAGTTTATCTATTTTTTCTATGGTGAACATATGTGTAAAAATTACTTGCGGAATATAACGCGAGAGCAATTTTCATATAATTTTTAGCTACCCAGTAATCTTAAAAATTTAGGAAAATATTCTCTGCACTCTGGTGTATTGTATTTTAGGTACTTTGGCTTTAAATTAACTATAGTTATCTCTCTTATTTTCTGATAATGTCGATAATGGACGCCCGTATTTACAAAAATCGGCACGTTTATACACAGACACATACACAGAAAAATTCAAAAATATTTTTAAAACATTAGAGGCTGTTGAATTGTAGTAAGCTTTTCCATTTATGATTAGTAAATATAGTTTTTACTTAATAACGATATCACCTAACCGCTACAAATTAATACAGGAATTTAAAAAATTTAAAACTTTATAAATTATTCTAATTAAAATCTTTTAAAAATGGAAACAATTCTTGCAAAAATTCATTATTCATCGAAAATGTTCTTCTTCAGACAACAGTGTCCATAATATAGCTTAAGTAATTAAAAAAATTTCTAATTGAATAATGTCTTAGTTTTATTGCATGTTTTATTTTGATTCAGGTTAGATGTTAATTAACTGAGGTTCTGTTTTACAAAAAAATAAATTGAGGATTTAAATTCTTCGAGGAGTTCTGCATATAGTGCTACAAAAATTAATTTATCGAAATTTCATAAAATTAAATAAGTGTGGAGGGCAACAGATGTAAAAAAATGTTTTTACTAAGATTTTCTAAAAAATGAAACATTACTAAAATAATTTACTTCATTGGTGAATAAGTCTTGAAAGTTTCATTAAAATCCGACAGTTATTTGATTTTTGCAAGAATTTCCAAATCAATTTGTTTTTCACCGCAAATAAGACCCTACAATTTTCTATATTAATCTTTAGTTGCCCACTGACGCAAGAAAAACGTGATTTTTAACCATAATTTCAAACGTTTTAAAAAGGATAAAAAATATAATTTAATAACCCAAAAAAAATCCTTTGATCTTTCCTCTTAACAATAACACAAAGATTTCGATGACAAAACTTTGTTTTTATTAAGTTTGGAGCATTTTTTCATCATGGTATGCTCATTTTTTTAGCGAATCTGTTGTGCTGCCTATATTAATAGATTAAAATAATATTGTTAAAAAGTGTTTTGAATATCAATGTGAAATATTAAATTGCAAATATGATCAAAAATTTGAGCAGTATTTATGTATCACGTGATAATATTCGTGTTATTCCAAGCCATTATTATATAATTATTTTTTAGTTCAAAAAGTATATTAAAAATTCGTTATAATTACCTGCTTAACATTAGGTACAAATGGACAATTATCACAAGCGTCTCCGATGCCATCACCGTCTGTATCACGCTGATCTGCATTCTTTACTCTAATACAATTATCATGAGCATTTATAATACCTAAAATAAATAAGAGAATAATTACTTTTTTTATCAGATTATTTAGCATAGCTAAAGTAGTATAAAAATGCAAATAGTTGTAAACAAAGCGAAACGAAACTGCTGGCTCACTAATGATTATTTGTCGAATAGTTAGAGAGAGAATGATTGTTAGTGAGCAAGATAGACGTACATCGAGTGACCATGATTAATTGGAAAAATTGGAAAAAAATAGCTTTTCTCAACCGGTGCTCCCGGGCGCGCTAATGCACTCTGAAATGTTGCCAGGCGCGCCCCAAGTTAACACAATAGTAACTTATGAATTATTTTTATATTAAAAAAAATTTATTTTTAAAAAGCTAGAGACACCAAGTACATGGCTTCCATGACTAAGTCAAGTTTTTGTCATTTGATATTTTAAACTGAATGTTAAATGCCTTAATCTTTAAGAAGGCGTGAATAATCCTTTCTCTCTTGCCTTTCTCAAGGGATTTAAACCAGTCTCTCTAAAGGGATTTAATCAGTCTCTCTAAAAATAACAGATTCTTCATAAATCACTTTAAATGAAAATTCTACCGTTATTCTTCGTTGAGAATGCTAAACCAAAACTTCATATTTTCAAATTTCATGACTAATTTTTCCTTATTAAAATTTAAAGTGCGTTCCAGAGTTTTAAATATTTTACAAGTGTGCCCTGAAGTAAAAGAAATGATCGAGTAACACTACAGAGAGACAACCTTGACAAGCAGCGAATCAGTCATAGATGACAAAAAGTTTACCAAAATATGAGATTTTACTCTATTTTAACTTCAAGATAAAAAAGTAATAATTCTGAATCCCATGGGAACTTCACTGTTTGCAAGAGACGTTAATTTCCAGGGATCCATTCATTAAAAGAATGAAAAAAAAAATGTGGACACTACCCCACGAGAACTATATACTGATAACTATAATTCCTACACTGAACTTAGTTTGGTAACTACATATTCTATATCCGAATAAATGTCCGTTGTCATAAATACGGTTGCATTCGCGTCATTTTATCCTTAATAATTATATCCCCATGATCAGTGTAGCTAAAGATATCAGCTCATACATGTATGTATTTCAAAATTTAATAATATTCTTTTCCTTTTTAACATTCTAAATCAATTTTTATTAGATAATTTCCTATTTTTTCCCTTGAAATTACTTCTCTATGTAAAGGCTTCATTCGTGTTTCATTTAAATGCAATCTCAGCAGCAATATTTTTTATTCTCTTACCGTCATTATCTGCATCTGGATCGCATGTGTCTCCCATACCATCATCATCTGTGTCAGTTTGTTCAGGGTTGGGGATTGTTGGACAATTGTCACAGGCATCTCCTTTTCGGTCAGGTTTGTCTTCTGTATCATCTTGATCAGGATTGGCGACAAGTGGACAGTTATCCTGAGGACAAAAATAATTTATTCAAATTTTATTCACAAAAATGAACCGTAAAAGAACATCATGAAGCCATTTATTATATAATCTCGCTTAACACTTCAATTACATAATTTATTTTCTTTAATGACTGGGTCTATTTCAATAGTGAATAAAAACTTGGAAAAAAAAACACGCCTTCTACTCACAGGATTATTAACAATACCATCATTATCGGCATCTGGGTCACACGCATCTCCAAGTCCATCTCCATCGGCATCTTCTTGACCACTGTTGGGAGTTGATACGCAGTTATCCTGAGCAAAACATTAATTGTATTAGTTTCAATGTCATAAGATAAAATTAGTAATGTGTACATCCATTTAACTCGCTAAATCTCTTTCTCACTCTCTCTGTATATATATATATATATATATATATATATATATATATATATATATATATATATATATATATATTCTTCTGGTGGAAACCTTCTCGGACAAAAAAAAAGATCATTAAACGCTGGGCAAAATATTTCTCAAATGTTCTAAATATGAAGTTGAATGGTGAAGAGAACCTTATCAACAAAATACCACATATGGCTATTCTTGAAAGGCTATCACCTACTCCATTTGTTACTGGGACAAAAAAATCCATAAAACAACGGACAGACGGGAAGTTATCTGTTAATAATAGCATAACAGCAGAGATATACAAATGTGGCAGCAATCAACTGGTTCACAAAATTTGTGATCTCTTTTCTTTAATCTGGGGATCAGGATCAGTTCCTCGAGAGTTTAAAGACGGTTCTACTGCACAAAGGCAATAAATGCGAGTATAACACCCATAGAGGTGTCTCTCTTCTGTGTGTTGCTAGGAAAATGTTTGACAGGATCATCTTGAATTCTCTGGTTGATTCAGTCTTGTCTGAATCTCAGTACAGGTTTCAGTCTGGTAGAAGCACTGTGAACATTTTCAGTTTAAGGCAAGTGCAGGGCAAAGCACGACAAAGATTTATTTGTTACTTTTGTAGATCTTACAAAGACCAATGATACTGTTTTTTTTTTGTTTGGGGGGGTAGGAAGCTGGGTGGTTTCCCTGAAAGGAAGCTTAGTATCATCATATCTTTCCATGCGGAGATGATGGCCTGGACTCAGATCAAGTGGAAAGGTGTCCAACGCATTTATTGTCCCTAATAATATAAAACAAAGTGATGTTATTGCACCTTTTCTTATTTGCTTTGTATTTTCTGTCATGCTGAAAAGATCATTTGAGAATGTTAAAGAATATGTGAAATTTGAGTTTAGGACAAATTGTGGGTTGTTTAACCAACAACGCTTCAAAGCAAGAACTAGGACGATTGTGCAAAATGTTCGTGACCTGAAGACATTTGCACACTTGGAGCCCAAACCATTGAAGACATGCAATGGATCGTTAACAAATTCTCTCGTTTATCTAAAGTTTTCGGTCTGACTATCAGCATAAAAAATGGAACATTTCCATCAACCTATTTGTTACCATACCACATCTCTTGCTCCCATTGTTTATGCTTATGGAAAAGTCTTGAAAACCGTTTCCTCTTTCATATATCTTGGCTCCATTGTATCCATTGATGCTAAAATGGACAAAGAAATTGAGTGCAGGATTGGAAAGGCTAATTCTGCCTTCGGTAATCTTTACCACATGTTTTGGAATACTAGTGATGTTTCGTTAAAAGTGACATCCATACTCTATGGTACAGAATCTTGGACTCTGTACCGACAACACATCAGTCAACTCGATGCTTTCCACATGCGTTGCTTACGTACTATCTGCAAGAGAAAAATGCATTAGAAATAATGAAATTCTGACGAAATGCGACATGACAGCCATCCTCATGAAAATCCAAGCAGGCAGAATATCTTTCTTGTACAAGCAATACCAGACTTTCAAAACAAGAACTCTTTGACCAAGCAGGTCAGTTGGAAGGCACACCTCTATCGTTTCAAAGACAAAAAAGATAATCTGAAGCAATGTTGCATCCCCTTCTTCCTGAAGCGTCAGATCGGAAGAGATGGCGCCTGTCTTGCTTCTCATCTATACAAAGGTTTGCACAAAGCCAACTTGTTTTCTATGGTCAAATATATCGCCCTTACATTCTTGAGTTTTGATCGATAAGTTAATTGACACCTAAAATGTAATTAGTTCAAATTTTAAAACATAAAAGTTTAAATAGCCATCTCTATCAACTGCATTTCCAAGCTATGAGTCAGTGCTATCCATAAGTATATTGATGGATGCCATGGATAAATTGTCGTCTAAATTGCGCAAAAATGAAAATAACATATCTCATTTTAACAGATATATTTATCAAAATACTAAAGGGTACATTTATTCAATAAAATCGCCATTGGCTTCAACTACGGCCTCCAGACAACTTCGAAATTTCCTGAAACTCTTCAGGGCAAAACTTCTTCCTTAAGGCATTTGCCATAGGCCTCCTTGTTAAGTCTGAGGTTTTCATCAACAAATTCGGAAGTTAATTTCTTATCAGAATGATCAAAGTGAATTTTCCAAGCTGCCATACCTTCATAATCACCATTAGACTCATCTAACTCTTTCTGAATCCTCTGCACTCTCATCAGATTGATAGCCAAACACTCTGAAAGTTCGTATTGGAGCTTCCGGCGCGAATGCCAAGCAATACAGCATACCGTTTCCAATTTTCTGGTGGAGTGAATTGCATCATGATGCTCTTTTTTTCATAGACAGTGCCCAACTGACCTTACTATAATGTGCAGTCGACAAAATCAAAAACAAACAATGCGCGAAATAAAAATGGCGACAATTTACCCATCACTTTCTGTATATACAAGGTGTATCAAAAATACTTTTTAAAACACTGGGGGTGGGTTCCTCACACCAAAACAAAGATAAAAGTCCATATAAACATAGGTCTGCAAATCATTCGTTTTTGATTTATTAAGTTTAAAGAAAGTAGATGACGCTGTATTGTCATGTAAATTAGATTATATTTGTCATTTGTGGCTAGTCTGTCTAACGTGTGTAGTGAATTAACTGAGAAGTGTTCTGTTTAACAATGGCAGGATATTCATATCGTGACCAGGCAGATATGATTTTTACACACGGCTGCACGAATGGTAATGGAGGCGAGGCTGCACGGCAGTATCAAATTGCGTTTCCACACTGAAGGCAGTTGAGTCATTCAACCTTTGCTGTTGTCACCACAAAATATTGATCGAGGAAAACCGAGATCCACCCGTACAACTGACCACAAAGACCACATTCTACAGGCTGTCGAAGTGATCCAGGTATCAGAACACGTCATGTGGCCCTTGCATGTCGTACATCTCATAGTTCTGCATGGAAGGTAATTCAAGAGCAGCTCCTGTATCCGTATCATTTGTAACGTGTGCAGGGTCTTTCGCCCTCTGATTACTTATCAAGGGAGAGCCTTTGCCGATGGTCTATTATAAAAACTGGCGATCCGTTGTTTGTCTCTTCAGTATTGTTTAGGCAAACATTTGAAAGAGATGGAATAACAAATTTACACAACCAACACATGGTACAATACAGACTAGACACAAGCAGTTTACGATTAATGTGTGGGCAGGAACTGTAGGTGAATGTCTGGTAGGCCCATATGCTCTCCTAGCACGTCTTACAGGAGCTGTGTCTATAGGGACTTTATTTCGAACACATTTCCAGACCTGCTAGAGGATGTACCTCTGCTAATACAAAGGTGCATGTGGTGCATGCATGATGGGGCACCAGTACATTGTAGTCACATTGTTCGCGATGCACTGACTAGCCATGAAAGATGGATAGGTAGGGGAGGACCGGTTCCATGGTTTGTACGTTCTCCCAACCTCAATCCTTTGGATTTTTATGTGTGGAGCTCCTAAAACAATTGGTTTATGCAGCAAACATTTGAAAGGGTATGCTAGACAGTGATCCACCGAGTGCATGCGTGTGTAGAAGTAAGAGGAGGACATTTTGAACATTTGTTATGAGTTGCTGTGCTGAGGTACAACGATGGCCTTTTGAACATAAGTTTATTATGCCAGGAACGTTTTCAATCACCAAATGAATATTGTGTTGTGCATGAAACTCACATTGTGTGCTAACAGTGAGGAAAATGTATATTATCTCTCTCTCTCTCTATATATATATATATATATATATATATATATATATATATATATATATATATATATATATGTATAACTTAGACAGCAATCCTTCATTTAGATATATCTTATTAAATAGACGAGGGTAAATGCAGTGAGAGAAATTAAAATTGCAACATCGTGACCTTTCAATTTACTCAAGACTCACACAAAATGAGAATGCCTAATATCGAGAATATTTAACATCCAAAAACATAAGAAAAATTAATTTCTTTTAATAATATGTGGAAATATTCACTCTTTGCCTGATGAAGGTTGAGAGACCGGAAACTCTTGGAAAAATACATTATGCTCTATTTTCCATAATTTTTTTATGGAAAAGAAAGCATAATATATTTTTTTAAAATCCACATTACAATCAAAAACGTTTGCGGTTTCTCTTTTCTTTTTAATATATATATATATATATATATATATATATATATATATATGTGTGTGTGTGTGTGTGTGTGTGTGTGTGTGTGTGTGTGTGTGTGTGTGTGTGTGAAAATATATAGAAAATAGGAAGGAACTGGTTAGGTAAATAATCCAAAGTCCCTTAGTATTTTAGTTATTATTTTTAAAAAATAGTGCTCGATACAAAAGTAGAGCATAAATATAATTATTATGCGATTTGGAATCATATTTTTAAATAAATAATTATATATATATATATATATATATATATTGGATATCATTCTCAATATAAGAAAAATTCATTCGGATAAGATCCAACGGATATCCTTTTCCTCCGGTGGTTGTTTTACCTAGTCAGTATACAATATCATATTTTTTTAAATATCATTTCTTTCATAATGCTCAATAAGTGAGAAACATTCAAAATGTCCCTACTTTTCTGCATTTTCTATGGCCACATGGCAATGCATTATCAGGAATACCGTCCAAATCCTGATCCTTTGAACAATAATAACCATCACCACCGTAACCAATGCTGCACTGAAATACGAAAGAAAAATCAATTATTCAACTTGATGTTACCTATGGAAGCAAATAATATTAACTCAACAGTTTATTTATACAAAAGTCATTTGCATTTCACTTGCACAAACATGACGCGAAAATCTTTATTAATAACATGAAGGTATAATGTGAAATAACTTCTTTCTTTCGTCTCAATGGTCGCCTTTAAACCTTCCTTGAATTGTTCTTAGCTTCTTTTTTTCATATATACAAGTACACAATTTATTTATTTTTATAAATAAAAGGTTTGTATTTACGTATTATGTAGAATTGATTTCTTTTGTATATTAATATCAAGCATATAAAATTATGTTTTATAAATCGTATAAAATACGAACTTATTGATCAAAGTTTAGCAGTAGCGTGCATTTTAATAATTTATGCAGTTGGTGTCTTCATTGGGAACGAAAAAAGTTTCTAAAATAAGTTATTCTGAAATTCACGTTGACAAGATTTGAACAATTCACGGAGAAAAAAAATCAATCCGCTATTTACTTGGCATTCGTGCGTGCTAGATTCCGGTCTCTGAATGCATCTGGCATTTTTGTGGCATTCTTTTCCATTTGAGCAATTACTTATTTGTCGCCTGCAGCCCACAGTTTGGTTTCCGGAGTAGCCGGGGTCACACTCGCTGCATCTGAATGATCCCTGAGAAGATAATTGTGCAATAGTTATATATTTAAAATTATTAATACTACTGATAATACAACATAAATTACGAAATAAGAATATTTTTCTATCACAGAGTAACTTAGAAGCTATATCTTTGAGTTGGACTAAATATCTTTCGCAAATGAAAAATTTTTCTAAATAAAGCAAAATTTGAAATGTTTTATAGCTTACTGTTTGAGATTGAATTATCAAGATTAAAATATTCAAAACAAACTTTGAACTTTTTGCATTTGTAAAGTTAAAATATAGAAGTTCCTGAAAAGAAACACAAAAATAATACCCTATTTATACGCAATAAAATGGAGGAAATATACAAACATCCACAAATTTTAAAATGAACACTTAATTTTTTCTTTCGTTTCTTTGGAATTTCACAGAGAAAAATAATGTGATAGCAACTGGAAACTAAATTTATTCCTAAAATAGCATTTAACCGAAATAAAAAATACGTACACGTGTATTAATACATCTTGAATGTGGTACGCAACCACCATTGTTGCTTCTGCATTCATCGATGTCTTGACAAATCTGAAGTAAAAAACTGGCAATTAGTTTAAGTTATTCATTTAAGAATTTATTTGCTTATTCAGACTTGTAGATTTGATTAATCAAAATATTCGTCTATTTCTGAATCACGAAAAAGGTTAATTTCTTATTGAAGAAATGGTTATGGTATGATGTTCTACCAAAGAGTAGAAGAGAGTATATCTATGTCTACAAATGTTCTTTTCTTATTTGCTTTAAGGGACTCAAACATCTATTGAATATATTCTTTTTTTTTTTTTACATTTACTCCTATGTTATTTCTCGGACTAAGACAAAGTGGAAAGATTATATTGAATAAATTTCTAGGTCTGTTGCTAGGAAAGTTGGTTCACTGTGTTGTGCTAGACAATTTTTCTTGCCAGAATCTATCTTCCATTCGTCCATGTCTTGAATATTGCTACCACATATGGTCTGGGGTTCCTGCTATATATTTAGAGAGTCTTGATAAAATTCACAGAAGTTGCAATGTTATTGGTGCTGACCTGGCATCTCGGCTTCAGTCACCTTCTCACTGCCGTAAAGTAGCTTCCCTGTAACTTTTCCATAAATACGTTCATTGTAATTCTTCTGATTAACTATGGTACCTAGACTTTATTAATTTAAACGCAGTACCAAATTGGCACCAATGTCTCATCAGTTTACAGTTGAATTGGCGAGATGCAACCGGAAGTTCTATGCTAACAATTTATTTTCTGGCACTTCTCGCTTGTGGAACTCTCTTCCGGTTTCATCTTTTCCAGCCAAGATTTGATCTTCAAAAAAATAAATGCAATGTCAGTCGTTATCTACTGTGTTCTTGATTCTTCTTTTATTGTTCTCGTTCCTTAATAATGTTTCTCCTTTTCTTATATTGTTTCACAATCACTAACCGTTTAAATCCTAGTAGTTTGTGGTGAAATTGTTTAAAAAGATGTCGTAAAGTTAATTGATGCAATATACACTGATGAAGTCGGGAGATTACACTATGATTAAAAAAATAAAAATAAAATGATGACGACGGTCTTCCGAAAACTCATCGAAGATTTAAAATACTTTTTTTTTGGAAATTTTGACAGAAAGAACTAAAATATGTTACATTCTGTGCAAGAAGAATTGTTGCAACGTAAAGGAAAAGTAACGTCTTTTGAGTTCACATAAATTAAATATGTACTACATTTACCTGTCTAGTTTGTTGAGCTGATAAAATTCCAATACCGGTGATCGGGGAACTTGTATAACCTTGTGGACAAGGTGTGCAAGTAAATCCAGGCGATAAATTTGTACAGGTTGCTCTCCGATCACATGGACGACTAAATTGACACTAAACGAAAAAAAATTATTTGTGGTTAAGAAATTGGAGATAACTTGATCGGCGAAACATGTCAAAATAGAAGTTTTTCAAATTGTCTTATATATTTACGATTCCATCATATTCTCATCCAAAGATTATTCCCTCTCTCTCTCTCTCTCTCTCTCTCTCTCTCTCACACACACACACACACACACACACACACACACAGACTTACTTGTGTTTATGCATGCATTCATACTTTGTAATTAAGTAAATAATAAACAAATTAACAAACTGTGAATGTATCATAAACACAAGTAAATGTAATAATAATAATAAAAAAAATCTACAACGACAAAGTAATCATAAATATTACCGTCTATACTCGTGTATAGGTCGCACCCCTACTTTATGGCTTAATAATTGATGATTTACTGTTGACTCACAGATAGGTTGCACTATAATCTGGGGAGTTACATGGCCCTTTTTTAATGTAAGAATTATCAGATTTCTATCTTTATTTCAAAACTTAAAATTATTAATAAACTTTTGCAGTCAAAATACATTTTTGTCAATCATGTAAACAAAAGGAAGTAACTGTTGTACCGGTATTTTTACATTTACTGCATATTATTTTTATATCAAGTCAATTCGCCCAAAAAAAGAAAAAAAAAAGAAAAAAAGAAGTAACTACAGAAGAAAATGGTACATTTAGAAAAAAAAGTGTTTATTTATTTTAAAACCTGTTTCATAATTCTTTCTTTTTATGGTTTGCAACAATTAAAATTATAAACCATAAATTTGGCTACTAACTATATCGCTGCACAATGCAAAATAGTGCAAACGTTTTGGGTATTAGATTCATGCACTTTGTTATTTATAAATAACACTTAAGAACGCCTAAACAACCATTAAAGTCATATTTTCCTAAACAACCTTTAAGTCATATTTTCCAACGTATTTTTGAGAAAATATATATATTTTGCAGAATGAATCGTAAGACTATTTTTTCTTTGTCAATAAACATCTACAAGTGGTTCCTTAACTTATGTGGGCACATTCAAGGTTTCTATATAAGCGAGGGCTCCAACCGAATGGTGACTGATGGATCAATGAATATTTTATAATTTTATTTATTGTGATGGATATGTGAATCTAGCAGCATGAGTTAATTTTAAAGCAGTGAGTCAGTATATATGATAGATAATTTGTTTCTATACGGAGAAAAACCATAGCTTTAGTGTTTATGGGTATCATTTCCGATTTCTCAAAAATCATGATGACAAAGTAGTGTTGTTTTACATTTATGTTGAATGGATAGGTCACATCCCTAACATTTTGTGAATTTTTTGGTAAAAAAGTGCGACCTATCCGTGAGTATATACGGTAGGTAAAAAAGTTTTTAAAAAAACACTAAAAGATTACCTACAATTAACTGCATTCGAATCCGCAATTATTTCTACTCAATAGGCTCTAGAATAATTTGAAACACAACCATTACCGTAATACAATAGACCTATCCAAAATGCAGCATTGACCAGTATATATAAATAGTAGAACCTAAACACGACACACATGGCCTGAAGAGTGCATTTATGCGTGAAACAAACTGTTGCCGCTGTGTTTTGACCTCAATGTTCACGTTTATATTTACACTAGCAGCATGGCCCGGCGTTGCCCGTGCTTGATTCAAAAATCGTACGACTCATACAGCAATCGCTATCACCTGACTTAAAATATTTTTGCCCTTCCTTGCCTTTAAAGAAGTGCCCTTTGCCGTGCTGATGTTGCTACATGCCTTACTTCTTACTTCACACTGCGAATTTTTTCTAAGCTCTATACTAAACATTAAATTTGTTACGAAAAAAGAACTAAACAAAATGAACACAAAACGATCAGTTTTTAAAAAAAGGAGTCGTAACTGGAAAAACCAAATAAAAAAAGAATGTTAACAACAAATACTTTTTCACACCCAACCCAATTCTGCGGAATCAGAATCAACGTTGAGTTTAAGAAGGCGAATGAGCCAATTGGAGTAAAGTGCCATGCAGATTTAAATTTTTCCCACTTGTGACGAATGCAGCTGTCGATTTTTTTTTTTTTTTTTGCATGCTAGCATGCTAGTTAACATTCGTGTCAGTCAGATGTTGGCTCTCACACTGACCAATAGAATCTTCCTGCCTATTCGTGGCAGCCAGCTATAGGCTTTCACACTGGCCAGTAGAAAATGGCCGCGAACTACATGAAAACTGCAGTAGAAGCATGAAAAAATCGATTATATCCACTATCGATGGGAGTTGGAAATGCAATGTCGGTCTTGGCCTTCCCGCTAACTTGGAGCATGTGCATGTAAATTTTGGTGCAAATCCGTCGAAAATTGCGGCCGTGGAATCGTTACACACACACACACATCCTGCCTTTTATAGATAGAGATACGATCTGTCCCTGATACTGAGCACTTTAGCCCATAAATATAGTATACCTCAAAACTATATTTCTATCATATATATATATATATATATATATATATATATATATATATATATACAGAAAGAGAGATGTATGTATGTATAAGAAAGTATGGCTAAACTAAAATACATGATAGCAAGTATACAAATTGCTACCTATGTTAAAAGTAATCGCTGTTTGGTTCTTGCAAAAGAATAAATGTTAGCATTAAGATTTAGATTATGGCAAGAAGGCTTTATACAATCAAATCCGTTCGAACCACTGTAACATATGACTATTAAACGTCTGCCGACTGAGTTTGTCTAGTAGTTGTAGAGTCTACTAGCACATGTTAAAGTCTTTATCTTCATCTAAATTAATTTGTATCAACCCCGCCAATGCAGCACCGATGTTCCAATATTTGATATTCGTAATCATTTGATTACAGTAACCAAATATTGACTCGTCGGTGCCGTGTTGGTAGAAGTTAAAAGACAAAACCCATCAAGGATAAGAAAAATTAATTCAGATAAAGAATTTAAGTGGTGCTAGTAGGCGTAGAGACAGGTTATGTCTGCAGGCGGTTAATAAACTAAACGCAATATGTTTATAATCTGACTAATAATGAACTATTAACACTATTTGTAAACAAAACATAACCTGATTTGTCTTGTAAAATTAGGCTACATAAGCTGTCATGACGTAATTGTTCTTTCACCCTCCTTTCACCGAAAATAGCTTATTTATTCCGAATAACCAGTTTATTTTCCTGAATATAACAAGAGATCGGCTAAAATTTTGTTGTAAAATAACAAGAAAACGATTAAGAAACTAGACAAAATTTCTAATAAACTATAAACATTTGTGTAATAATAAAAATAATTAGAAGATTTAAACAATTTAGTAGTGTTGCTCTCACTGGTAGTAAAAAATATGGCATTGATTAAATGTTGGAAGAAAAGAATGAGATCTCTCTGCCTCATCATGAAAGTTTCTGTAGCCTAATAGTGAATGCGTTATTCATAAAAGACAAACTTCCGAGGTAAGACCAAAGTTAGCTCAGACCTCGTCAGAGACTACTTCCTTGTGAAGTCTTGCAGTTTACTTGCTTAAAAGGTGCCAAAAACATTAACAAATTATCATTAATATATACGTGATGATGAAAAGTTTGTTATATTTTTCGTAACATATGTAAACTAAAATGTCTGTAAATTAAATTTGAATAATGTAATATTAATTAGAATATTGCATTAATAAATTTAAACAATGGATTTTTTTGTAATAATTTTGAACAAAACCTGTATGACCATCGCTTGTATAAGTAAAACATGTTTGTTGAAGTTTAAAAGTATGTTAACCACAAGTATCGAGGTTCAATTATTAATGTAGACATTACTTCATCCAAATCTTCACAGTAAGTGCCGTTTCCTGTATAGCCAGTTGGACAAGAACCACAATGAAAACCGGTTCGTTGATCTGTACACATAACACCTGGAAAACATGGACTTGAATCACATGTCACTCGTGTTGGATGGCAGCCGTGAACTGTTCCATCTCCTGTCAGCGTTGTTGGACATGGACCACATATAAATCCACTGCTCGTATCGGAACATTGTACACCTAAAATGGGAAATTATTTTCATTACTGTCAACATCTCTAAATGTAGCGTTTTTATTTATCTTGTTTTATTAATCGTATTATAATATTTATAATGTATATGTTTCAGGTTCTTTCTTATTGAAAAAATAAATAACAGGGGAAAATGAAGCAGTTGATGTTGGAAGATTGCAAAAAATAATAGTTTAAACATTCGAAGGAGCTCAAATATGCAACCAACATTTTGGGGGTATAATTAAGTTTACACATAAGTGATTGGTTTTACTCTACACATAACTGGTTGGTTTTCGAAATAAAAAAAAACTAGCAACTGCTTGATATAAGTTGTCACAAAATATCGAATTTTGATCGTCCACAAATAAATATCGTTTTGAAATACAACATTCAGAGATTGAATAACGATTATTTTTTTATATATTAAACGATCTGGCAATCAACATTAACACGTCTTCAAATACTTTGTCAGTTTTTTTTTATCTTTAACCAGAAAGTTGCAGCAGAAGCTTTTAAAGAGGTCATTTTTTTCTTTGTACTAATTTTTCAACCAATACAAAACCTAAGAAGCACTCAAGGTAGAGGATTACCGATTGAGATTATTATGTGAGCGTAAGAGGAGGAGGGGGAGGAGGAGGTAAGAAGTGCAGTTTATGAGGGTGTATAGAAAAGATAACAGTTAACCCTAGACTTGAAGAGTTTAAGTTTGTAGTAGTGATGAGGAAAGTATCTTCTCGAGAGTCTGTTCCACAAAGCAGTGGTTCTTGGGAAGAAATTGTCCAAATTAAACTTTGATCTTATTAATGGAATACGAACAGAATGGGGATGATTTTCCCAGTGTATGTGACATGGTAGTTCTTAGCTATGAAGGTCAGGTTTGGTTGAACTAAGGAATATAACTCATTAGAACATTTGCCATGGAAATAGCGATAGAGTAGCGAGACGCTTACAACGTTTCGTCTGTGGGAAAGAGGTTGCAGAGCTGAAAATAATTTATCACCCACAAGACCGCGTAAACACTTTTGAAGAATAAAAACTGAAAAGTGAGGACTAGCGTGCTCCAGAACACATATGACATTAAGTTTCCATTTTTGGTTTAATCTGGTTCTTTGAAAGATATAGGAGGAAACAATTACTTAATAGCCAACGTAGAATCCAGTATTAATTACGAAAAGGAATATGAAAATACAATATTAATTAAAGGTTTCTAAAAAAAAATCCGGTATTAATTGTAGGTTTATAAAAATCTGTTATTATTATAGGTTTCTATGTGAAACCCATTAATGGCCGCCATCACAAAAATGGAACGGTAGGCATTTAATGGATCAAAGTAGAAATATTTTTTTCTTTTTCGTTATTTGTGATTTTTCTTTTTAGCTGTACATGTTAGAACTTAGTGTTGCTAGACTGAATTGAAAATATTCTTAAAGAATAATGTGGATATTATTTCACCTTTATTAAAAAGCGCTGTCAGTAAAAACAACTTTCAAATGATAGAGTAAACACTATTGTGTTATACAATTAATATTTTCAAAATTTCTATTGACAACTAAGGATACCAATTGTTTATTAGTAGACCTATGAATCAAGTATTGTAGTCAAAGAAACTATTCTCAATGTTACAGTCATAAACAAATACTAATTCAACTATTTCGTTAGGATTTTCAAATAAATCCCAGTGTCATTCTACTAGTAATAATTGCGAGTTCTATTCAAGTGAATTATATATATATATATTCTCGTTCCAGAAGGAATTTAAATTATTAATTGCAAATAACAGGAATATCAGTAATCGCTGTTATGTAGTTCAACTGCGATTGACGTAAATTTCCATTAGTTGCATTAAATACATGCGAATGACAAAAGTTTCGTTTAATCTGCGAGTCAGAATATCAAATAATTGTTCCTTCCATCAACTAATCAGAAGATATTTAATCCGAGAGGGAATTTCACATGTTTATCCTAGCAAATTCAGTTATTATTGAAGAGATTTGTAAATATCTTTGTGAAAATTATTAATCTAATTTAGATTTATCATCTGATAGAGAAAAAGAATTTATTAATGATGGGACACTTAATGATTTATCGGATAACGAACAAATCGTCGATTACTTTTTGAGCGGAGTGGTCACACATCGGAAGCAAAGGGATTTTTTTAAAAAAAACTTTTACTTGGACTTTGAGTATCAAAGGAAAACAGCTTCTAAATTTCAGATTAGAATTCATAAAGAAGCTTATTAACAAATAGATATTTACTTGAAAAAACTGAGTCAACTTATTAACAAATATTGGGAAATCAGATCTCCCACACCAAAAACAAAACCAAAAATAGCTTAGAAGATATTTTTAATATCGTCGTTCTATTTGCCTTACACTATATCACATTCCAATCTTTACTCCTTTGTAAAAAAGAAAGAAAAAAAAGAAGAAAAAATAAAAACGAACAATCGTGGCTTCGATTTTGTTGCCTTTTTGTGGTTAAAAACAAAAGCAAACATCATTTGATGTTCGAAGAGTGTATCTTGAAATTTATCAAACTAAACTGATTTTTTCTAAATAAATATTTTACATTTATTTATTTTTCTTTAGTTTTCCTCTAAACAGTTTCCGTAATGTTTATTTTTATTCACATTATTTTTTATTTATGCTAATAAATTGATTAATACTCTTGACACGCCACGTTCTACTGTAGAAACTAAAAAACAAAATGTACACATCAAGATTTTGATAATTTGAGCGCAATAAAAAAATAATCAAATATTGATGACGGAAACTTGTATAAAATAGTTGAAAACCTGTCAATGTTGTAAAGAATTTACAGGAAGCTATTGAGAAAAGGATCAACAATGATTGTATCATCAAAGGATTCAATGCACGGTAAGACAGCCCTTTGTAATGCTTTAACTATTAAATTACTCTCCTTCATTGGAAAAGATGTATGCGCACGCGCGCTTATATGAGTTGACAAATATATACGTGTATATTTTATGTTAGTGTACATTTGCACTTGATAAAACATTTTTATTTTGTGTTCAAAATATTTATACTTTGAGAATTTAAGTTTACATAATATATTGAAAGAATTTGCAACGGTTATCAAATTTTAGCGATCTTTAACTATATTAGATCCAAATTATTTAAGTCAATGCTGATCAGAAAAAAAATCATGAAATGTTGACTTAGTACATTTAAAACAATTTATTCATTAAAAAAATTCATGCAATTTGTAAAAATTGATATTGCCATAAAGTTATGGAGGGCCATGATCGAAAGGACATATGCAAGAAGTTAGGTTATTATAAAAATTCTTCAAAATTTAAATTCGAGAAAACGAAATATAACAAAGCAAATGTATTGCAAAGTAATTTGAATCTTACCAGGATAACAAGGTCGATCATTGCATGTTAGATAAGCTGAACATGTCTTGCCATCACCATAGAAACCGGGTGGACATGATCCACATCGAAATCCTTCCTCGGTGTCTATGCAACGAACACCCTGAAAGCACGGATTTGAAGAACAACGTCGCAAATTGCCAGGTTCTGGAGGGGTACCTAAGTTAGAGAAAAGATTTGATAAAATTTCTCCTTATATATAATTAGAAGAAAGGGTCGCATGTGTTCCTTTACATATAAGCTTATGTAAGGAGTGTAGAAGGTTAGTGTAGATACATATTAATCTTGTATTATGTATTTATATCTTTACGTGTATTGAGATTCATAAATTTGTATGTTGACTTGTGTATATTTCCACTTATGTACACATGTGCACCTATACGCTTTTCTCCTCCGTCTTTCCTTTATTTTTTATATTTTCTGCACACCCATATTTTTAACAATAGATTTCTAAATTTTTATCCAATTTTTTATCCTTTTATTTGTTCCTTCCCTTTTTCATTTCATTATATCTTATTACTATATATTCCTTTCTTCCTCCTCACTTTTTTGTCTCGTCAGATGTTATTATAACTACAGTCCGTCTTTCTGAAATTGACAAGTTATCCTAAATACAGCCTGTCGTTCTGAAATAGACAACTTGGTCGAATAACAACACGCGAGACGTTTTCACCAGTTTGTAACCTATCACTGTCTTCATCTATGTTTACAATCTCACTCCCCTTACTACTAATAATAGACCAACCTAACGCTTCTACATTGATCAAAATTTTAAATTTTTCATAAAATGTTTCGCACAGTATGGAATCAGACAAAGATTGGATTTTGCTAATAATATGATGTCCACCAGAAAATACACCGTCCACAAAAACATCTGTCCGTGAGTGATTCCCATTTCTCTGTTCCTTTCCGAGATTCATTTCTGTGATATGTTTAATAATTAATATTTAATAAGTGTTTTTCGTACTGATTATATTGGTGCCCTTTCGTTTATCCTTGTTTTATAATCTAACCTATCTATTTTACACACACACACACACATACATACATACATACACACACACACACATATATATATATATATATATATATATATATATATATATATAGTAAGACATTTTTATGTTTATACATTCTTTTTATAAATACAAATATTTAAGTAAATGCTCTGTTTATAATAAACAGTATTAAACAACATTTACCGGCCTGAATGTGCGAGAAATTTTCATTCGGAGGACGAATATTTTCTATGAAAATTTCTCGGACATTCAGGCCGGTAAATGTTGTTTAATACTATTTATTATAAACAGAGCATTTACTTAAATATTTGTATCTATAAAAAAGAATGTATAAACATAAAAATGTCTTAAAATAATTGTCGGTGTATGTCCATTTCATAATATATATATATATATATATATATATATATATATATATATATATACGAATTTTGCTGAAAATTACCAACAAGAAGGGATTAAGTCAACCATGTCCAAAGTCCGGCCTGGATTTAAATTTGTTTTATGTTGGTTAAAATCAGTTATAAATATATTTGGATACTTGGACTTGTGTCACTTTATGTTTTCTACTTCTTAATAAGATGAATGCTGGTATTATGTCTTATTCATGTGTTTTTAACTTAAAAGTTGACAGACAACATTAATTACTAATAATATGTAATATTTAAGATTAACCTGTGATATATAGCTTTGTGGAAGTTTCTTTTTTTCATATTTTACTTCATTTTATATGGGCTTCAGATATGACAGGCTGTGTGATTTTGATAAGAACTGTTTAAATTTACTTGTCATCCATAAGAAGAAATGAAAATATGCCATTTGCATTTAATTTTATTGGTTCAAAGAATGCCAAGCAGAAGGCTTGGCCTTTACGCATATTCACCTCATCAAATCTGGCCCCCTTTGAAAAAAGTTTGGCTACCACTGGATTAAGCAACCTTTAGAGATCAGATAATTTGTTCATATTTCTGGTAGTAACTGGAATCAAGAACTTATATAATTACAGCAACTGCTCATTTAACGACCGAATTCCGTTCCAACTGCCTGGTCTTTATACGATCTGGTCGCTAAATGAGACTTTATACCTCTCCGTTATTTCGGGCATACTACGTGTGTAATGTATATGTGTAACCCAGCATCAGATAGTCTTAATTTCAATTTTGTATCATTTGTGATTAATTTATATCTAAATGTTTATATATTACAGTAGTGCATTGAACAGTAAATGTAATAAACAAATACAAAAATCAGCTTTATATTCTGTACATTATTTTGGTTTACATATTGTAAATACAGCACAAGTAAATCTTGATTTATTTTTTCTCTTTATTTATTCATGTTATTTATTCTGATTGATTTTGAAGAAAGATAAAACAATCAAGTTTTCGCACAACGTATAAGAGTAATTGGTTGCATTTTTTTCTTTATTTTATTAATTTTTTATGGATTGTTGTAAGTCCGTAGTCGTTAAGCAACTAATTCCTTAAGTAGTGGCTGCAGTTTGAAAATATGTCTATGTGTATTGAAAATATTTGTTTTATTGAAAGAAAAATAAGTATATAAGAATCAATTTTAATGTATTTTTTTAAAAGCAATGGCATTTTCATTTCTCAGTTTTACTGAGTGTCCGAACAGTTTTTCCTCTACTGAGAATACTGCGTAGAATTATATCCTAGAATTCACTTTGGGTTTTGCCACGCAGCCGACTTTTTACTAGTCAGTGATTTGACTTCAGATATTTTTTTGTTCTTCACCAAATTTCGTGTTCTTTTTCCATGGCGAACTGTGTTGTTGGTTTAATGGTGCGCACAAAAATCATTGAGGAAAAATACTATGATAAAAATAATTATAAGGATACTTGTTTGAATAATAATGCGAATGACTCGTCTCAATATTTCAAACTTACTTATACAATGGTATACTGAAAACTTGTCAAATACTTACAAATACTGTGCAATATATATTATGACTGATTTATGATTTAGTAAAAATGTAGGGATCAATTATACGTGTGTATCTTAACCGCCACTTGATTCAAGTATAAACATAGTTGGAAAAATCTTTATGTTGAAAGTTTTTCTATAAATAAACATTCAAAATATAGTCATTGCCATGGCTGTCTGTAGAAAGCTTATTTATCGTGGCACACAATGCCATTTCTTTTCGTGAACGTTTGTTTAATCCTTACCTCGGCACATTTGACATTCTTTTAGTGTTTCTTTCAGTAGATGAGTTTCTCTTATCTGAAAAGAAATATTTTCATTCATTATCGCATTAGACTTCGTCGAGTATTTTTAAATCTTGAATTTATGTTAATAATAGACTGCATTGTGAATCAATAAATAATAAAAGGCACTGACTTTTTGAAATTAATATTCTGTCTATATTCTATATCAGCAGGTTTATCATAGTTAACATTATAATAAAGAGCATTAAATTTTCGTTTCACGACATTCACACTAAGATCACTGTACCACTTTGGCTTTTATAGTGCGTTTTATAAGCTGATGCCAATATTTCATTTCTCCCGTAAAATACATAGAACCATTACTTTAGCAAGTATGCGTAAACCCCCAAAGGTGACGAATCTTGAAACACTTACTATGATTTACCATATATATATATATATATATATATATATATATATATATATATATATATATATATATATATATATATATATTGAGTCATTTAATAGGAATGTAGTGTAAAAAGCTCTGTCTCGATACCTAATTCGGTTGACACTGAAAAATGTTCTCTTATTTTTCATAAAAATGCTTCCCTATGAACTGTAGAATTACATACAATATTACAAAATTCACAAATCATTCTGTAAGTTCATTTTTAAGGTTGAAAATAATTGAATTTTCAAAATGCAGTTGCTACTTATGGACTAACTGTCTTCATTTTATGACTGCTTTTAAGCAAATAGCGTAAAATAAAAATAAGAAAATAGTTTCCGATAAACTCGCATCATATATCACGGAATATAAGATTAAAATTAGAGTATATAGTCAACCTTGAAAGTTGTAATAATAAATAATATTAAAATGAAGAAGAGACTAGCCTGGTATTAGTATCAGTGCTTCATCTTAAAATCCAAATACATTTCAGAGTTATGTTTAAAATATTGTTCTTTTTAATATAAAAATAAAAAATTGCTGTTCAAAATCGTTCCCATCAAATATGCAGTTATAAAGAAAATACATTTTAGAAAGTTGTGCTTTGAAAACCACAATCAAAATATTTCCGTACTTATGAAATGATACATAAGAAGAAATAACAACCATTATGATGCAATAAGTTTTGATAGCCACATGTTACTAAAACGTCTTAATAGGACATAGGGTAAGTGAGTACTGCCGATATATATTATGCGAAAGTTTCGAACTTCTGGGAGAAAAGAGGTCATATTTGTAGCTTAGGGATTCCTAAAAAGCGGTAAAGATGTTTACGTATGAAATAGGTTTCACTTCCTGGTTATGTTAAAATCATTGTGCGAAAAGGTTCCCGAATAAATAAACTATATAGAATTAGAAACAGAGAGAGAAAAAAAAGAATAGAAGATAGATTGTTAGACTGATCGAAAAATTGTGGGTAGGAAAAGAGGAAAATCGAGAAAGCAACTATTCTACAATAAATAAGAATTTAATCCATGCAATAACGACCAGAGAATTTATAAATCATAGCATTTTAGATACAATCTGATTGACAGTGTTAAGGAGCTACCCCCATCGCTTACCAATATTTCCCCCATTATCACTTAGTAATGTGCAACAAATTGTTAAATAAAATCAGCAAAAATTCCCTCAATTCCTTAAAATGTAAGTTTTCCATGTATTACTTGGTAATTGCTTACCTGATTTTGAAAATCTCGTTGCAAATCACGAATCGCTATTGTAAGTTCTACGATTGCATTTGGAAGTTCTGGTTTCACACTATCAATGGTTGAATGATGAATTCTATCTGTAAGGTTAATGAATACACTTAGAATGAACAGAAAATAGCAAAAAGTAATTTAAAGATAATAGTGAAATATATTTATTATCGATAAATATTTTGAGAAGAAGCTGAGAAAAAGACTTTGACCTGTTTTTATGAGAAATAAAATACTTTATAATCAATAAGAATTTCATTGTTATATTTATCGTGAGTGTCAGGAGACGATTTTACAAAAGAATCATAGAACATAGAAATTACATCATTTGAACATGTAAAAGGAAAACGTATTGTTAAAACTATGTGTGTAGACATTGTTTTGTGTTTGCACACTAACCTTTTTAACTACTCGTAAGGGTTATAAGTATATGTCTTAATTTTGTGCAGTAAGTGAGATTATTTTTATTGTTAACTTTATTTTCTCTTTGACTATTTCTGGCAAGTTAGCCAGTTTTCTTTTATTGTTCCGTGAACCTTTTCCCTTGTTTGTGCTGTGTGGTTTTCCCAGCCAAAATGAACCCCTCTCTCCACTAACAGTCGACTCGATAGGATCAACCTGCCTCACCAAATGATTCGTCTTGGGACTTTTCAAGACCTAATAGGAAAGATGCTGCACATTTTACAAATATCCACGATCATTACCGAGAATTTATTTCCGGTAATATGTTTCTCGCAGTACATTCAGCGCTGGAAGCGGTGACCACCAGGACTGTCTCTCTGCTAATCACTGACGTCAAGACCAGAAAGTTTATTGGAGTTAGCAGAGAGAGCATGGAGAAGGCTTTGAAAACCTTAACATTGACATCAAGGTGCTGGTGAAGAGGAACTCAAAAAGTTTGAGGAGGTAAGTGTGGGGGCATCCTCACGGCAAATACTGTGAGGATGCAAACAGAGTATATGGGTACCCAGAAGACAAATATTATGTTGCATGGGGTGCTCATGGACATTTCAAACAATATGGACCAGTCGAGGTTGTCTCATCAATTATAAGCATTGTCACTGGAGACTTTGAGCTCCATTTGACAGTGACCCGCAAGAGCTTTTTAGATATCCCCAACATGCTGCTCTATCGCGTGAGGCAAATCTTCGTTATTGTGGAAAGAAGGAGACACCGCTGCTGGAGTTGGGATGCCAAGGAACATTTGTTCAAGGCGTGTCCCCTAAAGATTTTGGTGCCACAGTCCCAAGTGACAGCATCGGAAGAATCAATAGGGTCAGAGAAGACCAATAAAGTCAATGATAGTCAAAAATGGAAAGAGTTGATGTGGAAGGGGAAAAAGGCTGCATCATCTCCTTCCTTTTCCCAGCAGGATGTCCCGAACAAGAAAAAGTAGTAGCAGCGACATCATCATCAGAAGTAGCAGCTATCACACTGACTATGGCGGACGGGTTAATACCGAACTGTGGTCTGGTAGCATGGGACAGTCTTTTGGGGTCCTGGGTCCCTCAGATTTTCCGTCCGTTTGTGATTAGGATGTCGGCGCGGGGTGGGGTTCGTAGCCGATATTGCCATGAAAAGGGGTTCGTTTCGGGTCGTTGCGCGTTCTTCTGTCAGTTGGGACCGTTTCTGGTGGATCCGGCGCGCCTAGTTTTAATGAGAGACTGGAATGCTAGACTGGACCCCAAGTTAAACAATGGGTGGGAAGGTAGCAAGAAATGGTTGATCGTAGCTTGGTTGATAGATACCAGGTCGAGTATCCTAGGCGGGAGATGTGAATGTAGGCCCTCAGTTGGTCGTTTACCCTGGTGGTAAGTTACCTGGATAGAATGTTAGTAAGAGAGTCGATCTAGATTTACTAGATTGTTCCACGTTCTACTGGGTAGGCTATTCGGACCATAAACTCGTTTGTGCCTGGATGCTTTTAGGCCACTGGGAATTCAAAGCGTCATTGATGTGCAGAGGGGACTTCCAGCTACAGCTAACTAGATTATTGCAGCGGGAATTAGTGGGACGGTAGTTAGGAATAAGTAGTGCGAGAATCTTAAGGATAGCATTAGGTCTACACAGTATGACTCGCCTCAGAGAAGGTCGGAGGGAGCTCCTAGAGATAGGCTTAGCTAGGCAGGCCATTGAGCATTTGGCTAGGGAGTGCTATCAAGACCAAGTAGTTATGGCTAACTAAAATGTCGAAGGAAGTCGTGAACATGGGCACAAAATTGCATAAGGAGGAAATACGTTAAGGTTCTGATCAGTGCGTTTGTCTGGTCAACACTCCGGACGGTAATATATTGCGTGCCACTGACGATGAGCAAGTCTTTCACAGCTATTTATCTGACTTTCGTCGACTGAAGTGGCTGACTGTGAGGGTGGGATCACATTGAAGAGGTTCCTCATTGAAGCGGGTCGCATTGAAGGGTGTCCGTAGTGACATGTCTTCTGGACTTGATAGTCTGCCCTACGAATTGTACTTGAGGTTGTCGCATATTTTTGTACCTATCTTGACAATGGTGTTCAAGTGATTCCATCAGAGATCCGTCCCCAATCGTATCTTCAGGGGTATGATCACGTTGTTAAAGAAAAACAAGCATGGAGGAGGGGATAAACGATTTACAGATTTAAAGATTTGGGCCAAAATCCTGATGGAGCATCTGCAGTCATTGCCGAGATTCTGTTGGGACCAGAGCAGACTTTTTGTGAAAGATTGAACAATTCAGAGCAACCTTTTATCTGATCCGCACGATCATAGAAGATGTAGAAGACGAGAAAGAGGTCGCGCTGATCAATATTGGATCAGTTCAAGGCAATCGACAGGGTCGACCATCAGTACCTGGCAGCTGTCCTGCAGACCGCCGGATTCCAAACCGACTTCTGTAAGTGGATTCACCTGCTGTAGCGCCATCCCCAGTACCGTGGACAGTGGTCGAGCACCTTTGCGCTGTCCCGGTCGGTTCGTCAGGGTTGTCCACTGTCGCCTCTACTTTAAGCTCTGGCGTTGGAGCTCCTCCTGCAGAATCGGTCGTCCTGGAAGGCTCGAGCCAGGGTTTCCACATATGTCCGAAGTTTTTGTTATTCCTAATTTTTATCTTAATTAGACCAGCCTTTTACATCTTTCCAAAGCCATATTTTTAGCCCATCTCCTGCCCCTAGCGAGTGAGCTTCTTGATTCTTTCTGACGGCAGAATACAGCGGCCATTCTCATTTTTTTGTAGGATGGACGGCAGCTTACTAACAGTTTTAATTTCTTTTAAATTGTTTAGTTGAAATTTTTATTTGATTTAATGAGTTTAACTTCCCGCTTCCTTTATGTACTTTTGTAAGAAAAAATCGTAATTGTATATATATATATATATATATATATATATATATATATATATATATATATATATATATATATGATGCTTGTATCAATTGTTAGAACGGATGGATCTTGAATCGAATTAGCTAAAAGTAGAATAGTTACTGATGACTAACTTCTATCCTTCTCCCTTCGGCCTTGTGCCAAAAGCATAGTATTTTGCTAAATAAACAACATTTCATAAATTTATACATGTTTATTTTTATGCATTCACTAAGAAGGAAACTTTTTCTGACTTCAGATCAATCAAAAGTTGTTTTGTCAGTTTTATAAAGCAGTTCTATTCAGATAAGTTTAAATAGTTTACACTCAGTACAAACTAGTATTGTAGACCATCACTTCTGTAGTAAGTTAGATGATTTCTGTATGTCTAGCACTTGTTCCCATGTGCCAGGCATGCCTAAGCTACACAATTGCCAGAGAAAAAAAAATCATATTTCATTAAAAATATTTTTTAAAAATGCACTACACCCAAATGCATAAAAATCAGATACCTATCAGATGATAATACTCATTTTCTATTCTTAATGCATTTAATTTATCTTTGTATATCTGGGGTTTTTTTTGTGGGGGGAAGATATTTTTCTATTGGGAATACAAGATAAGGTTTACTTTAAGTGTCCCTTCTTAAACAAAAATACCTTGAAAGTAAACTGAAAATGAATAAGCATTGGTAGAGAAATGTGAAAAATGTGTGAAACTATTGGGTTGACCAAAAAGTTCGTTTGATTTATTAAGAAGAAAATTAACTTAATAACCGAACGGATTTGGGGGCCAATCCAATATGATTAAGATTTATTTCGTTTAAATAGAATAGAAACAATACGAAATCCATAAAAAGCTGACCATCTTTAAATTTTTCTTTACCTGGTGGATAAATTGTTAAATGCGTTATATAATTGAATACATATATGTGAAACATATTTTGTTTGCTTTTTCTCAAAAAGGAAACGAAAAATCATTAATATTTTGATCTAATCAGCATAGAAGAAAGATTCATCTGAAAATGATGTAAATGTTATTGCAAATATTGACTAAAATACCAAAATACCATCGCCTGTTTATGTAAACAAAGATTTTTTAATTTATTCACCAGTTTTTATTTGGTCGACTGTATAGAAAGGGTCCTGTGACACTTCGCGTGAATGTGTTTCTCTCTTTATGTCAATATCGGGAAATCGTCGGTCAGGGTCGATTGATCCTACCCAGGATGGAAGAGATGGTTTTGGAATAGAAGGTCTAGTGGGAGCAATGTTTTCCGTATCTTCGCAACCTTGCATCATTAGTAATTCTTTCAAAGATGCTTGTCCGTACAACTTGAACGCAGGATGTCGTTGCTTTGTACAGGGACCACAAATAAAAACAAAAATGAAAAAGCAAACATGATTATCAACAGCGGTTGAATTGCAAAAATAGAGACGAAAAATAATAATGCAAATTGTTTACGAGTTCAAATGTAAAATTAAAATCATTTAATTTTACATTTTTACTTTTATATGAAAATGAGTCAAGCATCAGTGTAAAAGAAAAATAAAATTGTTCTGAACTTCATATTCCTGAAGAAATACTTTGTCACATGCCATCGACTTCAACATCACTGATGAGACAGTAAACATCTTCAGGCCAATGAGCCTTGCCACACTATATGTCTTCAGAAACATGAAATACCCTTCGTTGTGGTGTCCGCGCCATCAAGGACTCCAAATCTTAATCGCATTAAGCATTTATGGTATGTGTTGGAGCAATAAGTTTATTCTGCAACAACTTTTGCAGCAGTTGAATGACCTTTTTTGCCAGCAAAAAAAAAAAAAAAAACGGAATGTGAAAAGGACATTTTTTCTATTGACACCGCTAATATTTTAACTTCTACACTCCTCGGCAATAATTTAAAAATGATGATTAAAATTGTAATAAAACCTCAATATATTAAAGTGAATTTGTTATATATTTTTGAGAATTGAAATAAAAATAATAAACACTATTTATTTATTATATTGTTTATTGGAATTGTTGGCAAAACATCGACTAATTACCAATTCATTCGAACTTTATAAAATGGTCAATAATAATGATTTCCTTATAGTGATTCACATATTTTAATAATTTAGTAAATGCTTATGAATATATGTATAAAATTGTTTTCATATTCATTTCTTTTTAAATTGGTAAATGATAAATGTTGCATTTCGGACACGAAGGTACAAGTTTGCTGAATTATCTAACATCAAATGACAAAAGAATCATTTAGATGTCTTGTAGATCAGGTAAGAACTGTTTATGACGATAAGGAGGATCGACACCTTAGTAAGCAGATTTTCATAATGTTTTGGTTCTTCAGTGTGGATAAATTTCGTCTATTTTTATTCTATTATTACAAAAGAACTTCAAACGTTTAATACAATCGAAATGTACATGTCACCAATTCGCATTTCTAGAATTTTTTTCATTAAAGCCGACTGAAAAATAAAATTTACGTTGATAAATATCTTCATATTGGGCATAATGATGTAATTAATATAATCCTTTTACTATGTTCTCCCTAAGAATCTAATAGTCTTCTTTTTTTTTTCAGAAGCGGAAAGTAGTTTGGGAAACGTTCATCCCTTACAAGCCAAAGACATTATTATATAGGCCCATAATTGCATGAATTACTTGAATGAACGATATCGGAATTTTCGGCTCACAAAAATTAAAAATGTAGAAGATAGGACGCCTGTGGAGAGCAAAGATTAGTACAAGGTGTTTCTGAAAAGTTCTCAGCCCGACCAAGAAAGGATTTTTTAATCAGATTTTTGTCAGATTTTGAAATCTTCATGAGTAAATTTGGAAGACCATTCACTACTGAGTTTGTACCTATGCCAAACTAAGTTAAGCTTAGTAAATATCCATAAATTGTAAAATACAGAAAATTTATTTTATTGTAAGTGAAATTCAATGCATGTATAAATTTTAAAAAAAATTAGGCTATAGTGCTTACCACAGAAAAGTTACCCATAAGAACATCTCGGATTGGAAGTTCGGTATTATCCCGGCCAGCATTCATACAGTTGACGAATAACTGTATACCATTGGAATTTGATTGAAGATTAGTGAAGCGAATAATAATTTTTTTGTTTTTATTTTCACTTAATACACCAGTTAGGAATCGCACAGCATATTCACGACCGTCTTTAGTTTTCAAATTAATAACAACTAAAAGAATAAATAAACAGAATTAATGCATGAAGCCTATAAGATCAGGAAAAAAAATCATGTTTTTACAAATCGAAGATTATCAGTTATTTGTTGAGTTACAGCATTGTTTGTCACAATGTTACATTTATGAAGTACACAGTGAGAAATAAACTCACAGTCAATACAGTTATATATGCTTTCCTGAATAGGAATTGTAACTTACCCTCGGCTCTTTGGAAGTCAATATATGAGTCGAACTTTGTATTCATTGCAAGATTTTCTGCTCTTAATAAAGTTGCTCGTCCTCGGCGTCGGTTACTTTGTAGCTGTATTTCACCAACTAATGACAACTCATTGTAGCGCATGAAGGCCGCTCCGATTTCTGGTTTGCGAACTTTTAAAAAAAAAGAGAGAAGTGCGCGTGCGCGTGCGAGAGAGAATTATAGTTTCGTATCAATGCACAAGTTAAATCAACAGACCATTAATCGTCTGTATTTTTATAAAAGTTTACATTTGTTATGAGAGTCTGAATAATTCCGTTAATTTCAAAACATGTTATAGTGAGAAATCTGGAATCTATCGCGAAACTAATTAGTATAAACAAGTAACGTGTACAGAAATAAGTTGATAAAAACATTACAGATAGGTATATAAACTAAAGAACTGGTCATTGTGGGTTTAAATATATGTTGTATGTTACAAAATGATGCAACATATTCCCTTTTCTTCTCATTTTCTGTTGAATGTTTAGCAAATAACTAAGCATTGATAATTGTTTGTAAGAAAGTCAACTTTTGATAAAATAAAGAATTAATCTTTCACTTTTTGACCATTTATCTTTTGGCTTGAAATGCCGACCTATTCTGCTTACCTTAACTAAGGTTCGACTAAATTAAAAACGTTATTTTCAACCTTCAGCTGTTACAAACCTTAACAAAGAATGTTTTATTGTTTTCAAAAGTTTATTATGTAGTAGATCATAGTAATTTAAATTTAGTTTCTTTGATCGCGAAACAATAAAGAGAATCTGAACTTAATTAGCGAAGCTTTTATCAGATGAATCGTGAGATATATATCAACATTATATTCGTATATAAACCATTCCAAAATGTTACAAATGAACTGACCCCCCTTTTTTGGTTTGCTCGAAGGCAATCACTAAGTTCTTTCCATTCTCGCATTTTTAGCCTTCTATAATTCTTAAACAAAATAAAGATGTCGACTATAAAATACAAATGGTTAATATCTGTATTTTGATGCATTTACTTAGTTGAGGTCTTTGTTTAATGTAGACTACATATCCATATCAACACTGCTTATGCGTAATCAACACAATATATTTTGAACTATTCTAGTTTATACTTTGGCGACAGCTCATAATAATATGAAACAAATAGAATGGAAGAAATATTAATACAATAAAAGTAGTTGTAAAAGTAGTTCCAATGAAGTAGATTTGTTCTGGTAAGCAGTTTTAAATGAAATTCTATATAAAATAACGTATTTTATTGTTTACAGATTAGCTTTATGCTATTTAAAAAATTAAATAAATGTTGGATTCTCTAAATTTAGCACAATGAAATAAAAGAATGTGTCTGAACATTGAAAAGTAATCTCGATTGCTGCGACCACTTCTATTTGAACATCTCTGCAATGTTTGTCTCTGTAAATGTGTCGTGGGAAAAATTTGAATAAACGTAAACCTTAAAGATTATCATATGGCCTTTTCCTCTTGAAGAGGTAGTTGAGAGCAAAACACTATTAATCACAACCATCTGCGAATATAGTCATACTAGGGCGGTGGCCGTAACACCAGCTGTTTTGATCTGACACCAGTTTTAAACCTGACATTTTCAATGAAAGAATGACCAAACGTTTGCATCTGGAATAACTCAAATCACAAAAAGTTCAAACAAGTTCTTGAGACAGTTTGGAAGAACAATGCTCTCTCTTTCTTTCCTTCTCTTTCTCTCTCCTCCCCCCCTCCGCTCTCTCATATACAAGGGACATAAACATCATTCAAATTAATGTTGATTCTTTCAAGATTTCATACGAAAATATTTCATTCTTAACAAACTTCGCAAGCGTTTATCTTTAATCAAAGATTTAGATTGGGTTTAATTTAAAACCCGAAATCATAAAAGCAAGACATTAATATCAAAATCGATCTTTTAAATAATAGAGATAAATAAAAATGTACGATTTATTTGAATAAATCGTAAAATAAATCACAAATAAATCGTAAATGTAGTTTGGAGATGTTTTCAATTTATCTATATTATTAACTTGTATTTTATATTTTGTTTTATCAATTTACCAAAAATTACTTGCAATTATTTCTTATAAAGAATGAGAAGCACCGTTTTGTGTTGGAATTGATATTAGAACATAGTTTTCAATAATTCATCAATGCATTTTATTTTTAAGCCAATCATTGATTTTCAACTTCTCTCTTTCGAAGCGTTGGAATTCTCTTGATAAAGTTGTTGCTTTGTTAACGACTCCTAAATGTGATTATTTTGCGAAAAACATAATTAGTAAACAAACTTTGAGAATTTTTTAATACCGCTTGACCGTTGTGATCAGTCTACTGATTAATCAAATTAATATCCGACCCTTGAAAGAAACGCAAGTAATGATAAGCGAACCTGCGTCCTCTCCGTTTGTTTCTTTTGGTTGCATAACTAATATACAGTGGGGGGGGGAATAAATATTCGTACTCATGAAAAACTGTATTTTTATAAACGTAAAAACCTTAACTAAAACAAATTTTGATACATTTTATGTGTAAAGATACATTTTATTAAAAAATAGTAATAAACTTAATTAATTCTTATTCTAACAGAAATTAATGCATTTTTTTCATTTTAACTGATGAAAAAAGTATTCGTATAAAACAAAAAAAGCATATTAACTTAATTTAATACTTTGTGGAATATCTTTTATTGAGTTAAACAGCTACCAGTCTATTCCTGTACGTCTCAACTAATGATTTGCACACATTGAGTGGTATTTTGTCCCATTCTTCTTGGCATATTTCTTCAAATTCTTGATATTTGTTGGTGCTCTTTTCCCAATTTGAATTTTCAAACATCGCCATAAATTCTCGATTGGGTTCAAGTCTGGGAACTGACTTGGCCATTGCAAGACATCAACGTTACTTTCAGCTAACCATTTCCTTGTAGATCTAGCGGTATGCTTAGGATCATTATCCAGTTGGAAAACTCAATCAGGAGGAAGCCGAAGTCTCTCAACAGAACGCATTAAATTGTCTTGCAGGATTTTCTGGTAGCTTTCGGCATTCATCTTGCCATCTATTATTGATATTATGCCAACACCTTTTGCAGAAAAACAGCCCCAGATCATGATACTGCCACCACCAAACTTTACAGTTAGCAACGTGTTCTTTGGTAAGTAGGCTTCACCGTCCTTCCTCCACACATGATTTCGATAATTATGACCAAACATCTCTATTTTAGTTTCATCTGTCCATGGTACTTTTTACCAAAACGAATATTCTTTATCCTTATGCGAATTTTAGCCTAGCATCTCTGTGTCGTTTCAAGAAGGGTGGAGTCTTCCTTGGGATGCGTGATTTCAGACTGTTTTTGTGTAGTTCATTACTTATTGTACGCTTGGTTACTTTAATCCCTAATGCACGCAGATGTTCCTGCAGCTCTTCTCGGGTAACCTGTGGATTTTGTTGGATCTGGCGTCCTAATATCCTTGCTGATCTTAGAGAAATCTTCCTTGGAGCACCTGTTCGTTTTTGGTTTTCGACACTGTTACCAGTTTTAAACCTTGCAATGAACGAAGCAATTGTAGTAAAAGGAATATTCAGGTTGTTAGAAATCGTTCTGTAACTGTTCCCATCTTTCCAAAGAGACAAAATGTGTTGTATTTGTGAAATAGTCAATTCTTTACCTTTAGGCATTATTAGAACCTTCTCGTAAGACTAGAAATTGCAGAATGCTCTGATAATGGCTAATAGCGTTAACTATAATTACTGATAACATTACTGGAACATTCTAGAATATACTTTTTTCATAATTAATTATTTTATTCTAATAATTGATTTGTACGAATACTTTTTTCACCAGTTAGAATTAAATAAATGCATTAATTTCTGTTAGAATAAGAATTAATTAAGTTTATTATTATTTTTTAATAGTATGTGCCTTTATACATAAAATGTGCCGAGATTTGTTTTATTTAAGGCTTTTACATTTAGAAAAATACAATTTTTCAAGTGTACGAATATTTATTTCCCCCCCACTGTATATATTGATCAGTTCATTTTCTTCTTTTTTTTTTTCTGTATAGTTATTAACTTTACGGCGACCAAGAATTATTTAGTAATCAATACTCTACCTATTGCTTCATTCTTTCTGAAAATGGTTGGCAAAGGAATGTTAAAGTATCAGACAGCTTGTTACTAAAATCCCGAAAGAAAATTTAGGTCATATTCGAAAATTAGTGAATATTAATCGAAAAATAAATATATTCATTCAAATACTGTTTTAAATTTTATAATGTAAAAAAATCAGAACAGACTGGTTAGCAACTAGTCTTCTATAGAAAGAAATGGCAGCCTACTGCTGGGAAACCTTCTGCCTAGTTAGTCATGAATCGAAAGGGACAGCATCTCTCAAGCGTGTATCACATATAGGACCTTCTATTAAGAATCGTATCTCAATATAGTAATAATACTCTACGGGTCATGTTTTCTAATCGCTATTGCACTGAAAGGCGTCTAAAACAAATTATATCCTCTTTCTCAGAAAAATCAAACAATTTTGTCACAACCAAAATGCCCATCCTGCCTGTCATCCCCACTTTTTTTTTTTTTTTTTTTACATAGGACGAATTCTTAAATTGTTTGAGGTTTAACGTATTTACAAGCCTTTCAGGGTGCAGTCTAAGAATTTCTTGATATACATCGTGAGAAAATTGCGTGCCTGAACTTAATGAATTGCTGCTGTGAAATTTTTTTATCAGATAAAAAATAAATTCTTGAAGTGTCAAAAAATTACCAGATAAAAATGATCTTTTCGTAGCAGTAGGCTACAAGTAATAGGTACGATCATTTTAAAGTGTAAAATTACTGTTCAGCTATTAATTTTACATACTTTAGTAAAGTCTTTTAGAAAATACCAATTTCTCATTAGAGTTTTAATGCTTGAAGATGTCGAAATACCCGCTTTAAAGCGGTGGTTGGAAAACTAGTCTCACTGGATTAATATTCACTTGTTGTCTCGTTATTAGTATAATTAGTAAATATCGAAATGATTTTGATATTATTGTCAAGAAAAATTTCTCTTCTAATCTTATTACTTCTTGTTTTGTCTAATTTCACGAAAACAGACCAATAAGTCCGTAATCTGATACTTGGTT